TTGACGTTCAAATTGTAGATTTTTAACTATTTTCTCCAGGCCTTAGGGGCGATCGTAGTGTCAAAAGCATGACTTGTCACCATGGGCAGGGGTGCCAAAATTTAAAAAAAGGAGTATCGTCTTGAAACTCGGTAGGCGGGTCGGACTGGTCCCCCCGACCACGTTGACGTTCAAATTGTAGATTTTTAACTATTTTCTCCAGGCCTTAGGGGCGATCGTAGTGTCAAAAGCATGACTTGTCACCATGGGCAGGGGTGCCAAAATTTAAAAAAAGGAGTATCGTCTTGAAACTCGGTAGGCGGGTCGGACTGGTCCCCCCGACCACGTTGACGTTCCAATTGTAAATTTTTAGGAATGTTCTCCAGGCCTTAGGGGCGACCTTCAGTTGAAAATAGTCACCTGCGAATTGTAACAGTTGATAGAAATATGGTTGACATGTGTACAGATACAAATGTTGCTTTTCCGATTATAGCAAATGTGTTTTGTGCTAAATGTCTTGCTTATATCCTCTGAATTAACTTTTAATCAAAATTTCTGAGAAGCTAATACCATTTGGGAAAAAAAACTGCTTCCCGGAGTTTGGATTATCTCCCTTGATTTTCCTTGAAACAAATGTTGATGTTAATTTTTTGGGGCGGTCGGGTAGCCTAGTGGTTAAAGCGTTCGCTCGTCACGCCGAAGACCTGGGTTCGATTCCCGACATGGGTACAATGTGTGAAGCCCATTTCTGGTGTCCCCCGTCGTGGTATTGCTGGAATATTGCTAAAAGTGGCGTAAAACCATACTCACTCACTGATGTTGATTTTAAGGCTCTGTTTCAAATTTTATATTTATATTTGTTCATATTTTCATCAGTTATTCCTCTCTAGAGCCCATCAACTATATATTATACAAGTTTTCATTTTAGCTATAAAAGAAAAATAGCTTATACATACCTTTATGTTCTTGAGGTCTATCTTTAAAACATTGTATGCTCGGCCGCCATTTTGAAGAAGGGAATACTTTGGGTTTTTTCAATTATATTTGTTTCTAACTTGATTATTTATATGAGACAATGAACTGTATGATTTTATATGTAAAACGTCAATATTATAATAAATCGGTTCATGTTCTGCAAGAATTACTCATATTAACAAATTTATGTACTTTTTCGTCATTTTGAAGCATTATTTTTAATTTCTATGTGAATTTTCCTTTCAAAATTGTTAAATATACATTCCATTGCATTTATCCTGGCAAGCTGTTATAAATAGACTCATCATAAATGTTTTTATTGTTATTGGGTCCACGTTTATGACTATTATTACTTTTGTTTGCGGCCATCTTGGATTTGACCTATTTTCGGATGGATCCCATGTCCCATTTTTGGTAAACTATTTTTTATTTTAATGTATAGGTGGCAAGGCACCAAAATCCAGCAATAAACCTTTTCCGTCAATTTTGTTGAATCTGGACCTTTTAATTACTGGACTAGTAGCGTCTTGAAACTCGGGAGGCGGGTCGGCCAGGACCCCCCGACCACGTTGACGCTCAAACTGTGGATTTTTAGCAATGTTCTCCAGGCCTTAGGGGCGATCGTAGTGTCAAAAGCGTGACTGGTCACCATGGGCATGGGTGCAAAAATTTCAAACAAGGAGTAGCATCTTGAAACTCGGTAGGCGAGTCGGACAGGACCCCCCGACGACGTTGACGCTCAAACTGTGGATTTTTAGCAATGTTCTCCAGGCCTTAGGGGCGACCTTCAGTTGAGAATAGTCACCTGCGAATTGTAACAGTTGATAGAAATATGGTTGACATGTGTACAGATGCAAATGTTGCTTTTCCGATTATAGCAAATGTGTTTTGTGCTAAATGTCTTGCTTATATCCTCTGAATTAACTTTTAATCAAAGTTTCTGAGAAGCTAATACCATTTGGGAAAAAAACTGCTTCCCGGAGTTTGGATTATCTCCCTTGATTTTCCTTGAAACAAAAGTGGATGTTAATTTTTGGGGGCGGTCGGGTAGCCTAGTGGTTAAAGCGTTCGCTCGTCACGCCGAAGACCTGGGTTCGATTCCCGACATGGGTACAATGTGTGAAGCCCATTTCTGGTGTCCCCCGCCGTGATATTGCTGGAATATTGCTAAAAGTGGCGTAAAACCATACTCACTCACTGATGTTGATTTTAAGGCTCTGTTTCAATTTTTATATTTATATTTGTTCATATTTTCATCAGTTATTCCTCTCTGGAGCCCATCAACTATATATTATACAAGTTTTCATTTTAGCTATAAAAGAAAAATAGCTTATACATACCTTTATGTTCTTGAGGTCTATCTTTAAAACATTGTATGCTCGGCCGCCATTTTGAAGAAGGGAATACTTTGGGTTTTTTCAATTATATTTGTTTCTAACTTGATTATTTATGTGAAGACAATGAACTGTATGATTTTATATGTAAAACGTCAATATTATAATAAATCGGTTCATGTTCTGCAAGAATTACTCATATTAACAAATTTATGTACTTTTTCGTCATTTTGAAGCATTATTTTTAATTTCTATGTGAATTTTCCTTTCAAAATTGTTAAATATATATTCCTTTGCATTTATCCTGGCAAGCTGTTATAAATAGACTCATCATAAATGTTTTTATTGTTATTGGGTCCACGTTTATGACTATTATTACTTTTGTTTGCGGCCATCTTGGATTTGACCTATTTTCGGATGGATCCCATGTCCCATTTTTGGTAAACTATTTTTTTTAGGTGGGTCAGACAGGACCCCCCGACCACGTTGACGCTCAAACTGTGGATTTTTAGCAATGTTCTCCAGGCCTTAGGGGCGATCGTAGTGTCAAAAGCGTGACTGGTCACCATGGACATGGGTGCAAAAATTTCAAAAAAGGAGTATCGTCTTGAAACTCGGTAGGCGAGTCGGACAGGACCCCCCGACGACGTTGACGCTCAAACTGTGGATTTTTAGCAATGTTCTCCAGGCCTTAGGGGCGACCTTCAGTTGAGAATAGTCACCTGCGAATTGTAACAGTTGATAGAAAACAGGTTGACATGTGTACAGATACAAATGTTGCTTTTCCGATTATAGCAAATGTGTTTTGTGCTAAATGTCTTGCTTATATCCTCTGAATTAACTTTTAATCAAAGTTTCTGAGAAGCTAATACCATTTGGGAAAAAAACTGCTTCCCGGAGTTTGGATTATCTCCCTTGATTTTCCTTGAAACAAATGTTGATGTTAATTTTTGGGGGCGGTCGGGTAGCCTTGTGGTTAAAGCGTTCGCTCGTCACGCCGAAGACCTGGGTTCGATTCCCGACATGGGTACAATGTGTGAAGCCCATTTCTGGTGTCCCCCGCCGTGATATTGCTGGAATATTGCTAAAAGCGGCATAAAACCATACTCACTCACTGATGTTGATTTTAAGGCTCTGTTTCAATTTTTATATTTATATTTGTTCATATTTTCATCAGTTATTCCTCTCTAGAGCCCATCAACTATATATTATACAAGTTTTCATTTTAGCTATAAAAGAAAAATAGCTTATACATACCTTTATGTTCTTGAGGTCTATCTTTAAAACATTGTATGCTCGGCCGCCATTTTGAAGAAGGGGATACTTTGGGTTTTTTCAATTATATTTGTTTCTAACTTGATTATTTATGTGAAGACAATAAACTGTATGATTTTATATGTAAAAAGTCAATATTATAATAAATCGGTTCATGTTCTGCAAGAATTACTGATATTAACAAATTTATGTACTTTTTCTAATTTTGAAGCATTATTTTTAATTTCTATGTGAATTTTCCTTTCAAAATTGTTAAATATACATTCCTTTGCATTTATCCTGGCAAGCTATTATAAAAAGACTCATCATAAATGTTTTTATTGTTATTGGGTCCACGTTTATGACTATAATAACTTTTGTTGGTGGCCATCTTGGATTTGACCTATTTTCGGATGGATCCCCATTGCTCTGTTTCAAATTTTATATTTATATTTGTTCATATTTTCATCAGTTATTCCTCTCTAGATCCCATCAACTATATATTATACAAGTTTTCATTTTAGCTATAAAAGAAAAATAGCTTATACATACCTTTATGTTCTTGAGGTCTATCTTTAAAACATTGTATGCTCGGCCCCCATTTTGAAGAAGGGAATACTTTGGGTTTTTTCAATTATATTTGTTTCTAACTTGATTATTTATGTGAAGACAATAAACTGTATGATTTTATATGTAAAACGTCAATATTATAATAAATCGGTTCATGTTCTGCAAGAATTACTCATATTAACAAATTTATGTACTTTTTCGTCATTTTGAAGCATTATTTTTAATTTCTATTTGAATTTTCCTTTCAAAATTGTTAAATATACATTCCTTTGCATTTATCCTGGTAAGCTATTATAAATAGACTCATCATAAATGTTTTTATTGTTATTGGGTCCACGTTTATGACTATAATAACTTTTGTTGGTGGCCATCTTGGATTTGACCTATTTTCGGATGGATCCCCATGTCCGATTTTGGTAAACTATTTTTTATTTTAATGTATAGGTGCCAAAATTTAAAAAAAGGAGTAGCGTCTTGAAACTCGGGAGGCGGGTCGGGCAGGGCCCCTTGACCACGTTGACGCTCAAACTGTGGATTTTTAGCAATGTTCTCCAGGCCTTAGGGGCGATCGTAGTGTCAAAAGCGTGAAGAAAAATAAGAGAAGCGTCTTCGTGATATTGCTGGAATATTGCTTAAAGCGGCGTTAGACCACACTCACTCACTCACTCATTCTCTATGATGGGCGGTGGGATGCCGGGTTGATAAAGCTTTCGTTCGTCACACTCAAGCCTAGGGTTTGACTCCCAACATGGATGCTATGTGTAATGCCCATTTCTTGTGTCCCCTGCCCTGATATTGCTGGAATATTGCTTAAAACGGCGTAAGACCATATTCACTCACTCACTCACTCAATCTTCATGCTTTGAACCTGATAACAAAACACTTGGGATGTTTTAAAATATTCTTTACAACTGTTATGTACATGGTAGAACAAGAACTAGGTACAATTCCGTGTGATTGAATGTAGCGTGAATGAAATGCAGAGCTCTCTACATGCAGCAGTGAAGTATGTTGAAAGCACTAAAGTAAGTTTTGCACTGGGGTCAGTTTGTTGCTGCCATGGGCTTCTGAAGAGTTGTCCCCCTTGGTTGTTTTGTCTCTTCTTTAGAAGGGGAGAAACTTGGCACATCTGGCAGGTCTGGAACTGGAAGAAAGACCACAAGGTTAGTAGTGATCACCCATATGCAGGGATAGAAATTATAACAAAAGTGTACTAGCACAAATAGTGATAACTCACAGGAACACCCGCTAACATGTTCACAATTATTCAAACATTAGTGGACTTTATAAATCTCAAGGGCTTGTATTTTGGTCAACCTACACTAACTCGTGGATCCATTACCTTGATCTCAAATGACCCGCCCTTGTTTTACATTTTGATTTGCTATGCTAGACCAATCTGAATGCGAGTAACAAACTAGCCTCAATGTTTGGTTGCAAAACTGAAGGTGGCAACTCTTACTTTAAACATTCCTCCTAATCTCAACGTTTGATTGGTCGGTAAAACGTAAATGAAAATCAAGGTCATGTTTGAGATTGCGAGAACCACGGGAATGGATAGTTTTACAGAAATGCGAGTCCTTCAGATATAGAGAATGAACTGCCTTGGGCTAGTGGGCGAGCATGACTCTATTCCCGACATGGCTTGAAGATGAACAAGCCTAAGTTGTATGTATCATCTTTTGATGATAAAACCCAAACACATGAACACAAACAGATGAACTGGTCAAGCTAATGAGAGGCTCCACAAAACAGACCTGACCTGCTGTAAATTTCCTGTTTCTGTCTGCTTTTTCTTTTGTACAGGACTGGTTTCTCCATAATCATAATTCAAACCTGACATTCAGCCTGTTTAATTTGAATTTGCATATGACGTATGAGAGATGAAAAACATGCTAAAATAACTGAGAATCGTTTGGATAAAAGTTGCTAACTATGTAAGCATCACTTATATAAAATTACATACATTTGTATAAAGCACGCTTCATTCACTACCTTGTCTGGTGGGTCTCAACAATTTACATTCATGTCAAGTACATGAAGCAAGACTTGTCTCCGGTATTTAGAAAGCAGTGATTGTCAATGTTCAACAAGAACTGTCTGGGTCAGTCTAAACACTTGCTTCACGTCCATACCGGTCACCCACTTACAATACCATAACTCCCAAACTGATCTTATTCAGGCCTCAAGACTTGACAAGGTAGACACAATTTTATGGATAACAACTTCTTTAATACTGTAAAAAGCGACGTTTCAGTATAGATCCTTATACCATTGTCAAGCAGGGATCTATACCGAAACGTCGCTTTTTACAGTATTAAAGAAGTTGTCAGTTACCGTTCCCTGCTTGACAACGGTATAAGGATCTAAACCGTAACGTCAACTTTTTACAGTATTAAAGAAGTTGTTTTCCATAAAATTGTGTCTACCTTGTCACCCGTCAACTTCGAAGTTATGCCTATCAAACAACTCAAGACCTGAGCATAGAAATTGGGGTCAATATTTGTAATAATTGTTGATATGAAAAGATTTTGATACGGTTAGCTCATCAGTTCCAGAAAGAACTGACTGGCAACAAGTGGGCATGGGAAACAAGATGGCAAGTCCAACAAGAAGCACAAGGCAGGCAGTTGTATTAATGTGTGAATGGACATAAACAGTGATGAACAGAAATGAGGTAACGCAAGGTGACTTAGTGATAAACAGGGAGAATCCGGTCGCTAAATAGGGGACCCCATTGCAAATACATAGCTGCCAACTGTCCTGAAATGTTTGTATTTGTTGCAAATTTACAACCAAAATTCAAAAAATTATTTCCATTTTTAATCAATACCAATAATACGCCAATTTACAGACAAGGACAAAATTTGCATAGAGATGCTGTTTGCTACGAACAAGAGTGCGTCTTGTTTATTGACTAGTGTGAAGCCTATGTATAGTGGTTTCTTTGGGTTTTTTTTCCTGTTGCATAATTGGTTAAATGTGGGCAGTTTATTGAAAATGTTATATCTATAAATCATGTACATTCTTGTAGGTCTGTGCTAGATAACCTATTTAAACAACATCTTCTGTCATTTTAATTTTGATCTGTATTTTATTTAATATCCAGATTTCAAAACCCCCCAAGGAGACAAAAAAACAAAACAACAAAAAACACCCAAAACAAAAAAAATATCAGGAGTTGCAGAGTTTGAAATAGAAACTAAGCGATAAAATTATCAACTGAGTTTCAGAATCACATGCCTAGATGCAAGATTCCCAACCAGAAGACCTAACAAAGTACTGATTGTAATTAGGTTAAGTTGGCAGCTATACATATATATATGAACCCTGTGCTTGTGCTTGAAAAAATCAATTAAATTAAACCTCCAGTAAGAACCAAATGTTAATGAAACAGGAGACAGTTAATAAGTCAGATATTCTACTTGTATCGTGGATGGCTAGTCCTTCCAGCACTGACGCCAGGTCGTCACCTTCCTCTTTCATGGCCTGCTGGTCAGCGAACAGAAGGTCACTCAGTTCCTTCTCAAGGCCGTCCTCAGAGGCATCACTTGATGACAGATCCTGGGATATCAACTGAGTTATCTCCCCTTGATCTTCCAGAGCCTGAACAACAGAGTGAAGCAAGTTAACTATTAGGGCTGGGACGATACACCAACTGTGCGATCAGATACATATCACGATACCTTGCTCAGGATCTGATACGTATCACGGTACTTGCACATGCTCTTATCGGTGATGTGTAATCCATGTTTTTCATACGCAGGATGCCCAAATACCTGGCACACTAACAATTTACTATTGACATTGTCAAGTATGGCACAATGGATGAAAATATTTACATTTTCACCACTCATTTTCACTAGTAATTAGTGTTTGGTGTAACATTTATTAGAGAATATATTTAAGACTAGAATCGATACTTTGTACTTAGTGTGCGATTGTGATTGATACTTGTATCGAGAAGTGAAAAATCATGATCCACCAATGCATCGATGTATTGTCCCACAACTGTTTGTTTGTTGTTTAACGCAGCACTCAGCAATATTCCAGCTATATGACAGCGGTCTGTAAAATAATCGAGTCTGGACCAGACAATCCAGTGATGGACATCATGAGCATCGATCCACGCAATTTGGATCGATGACATGTATCAACCAAGTCAGCGAGCCTGACCACCAGATCCCGTTAGTTACCTTTTACAATAAGCATAGTCGCCTTTTACGTCAAGCATGGGTTGCTGAAGACCTATTCTACTGGTCCCCACTACTATTAACTATGTTGCAGAACCATCACATCAATAATCAGCTTCACATGATGGAAACATGAAGTTATGCTCACATAGTCAACCCAATATGTCAGGGCTTGTTTGAAGAACTTGATGTAATTTGAGTGAGTGAGTGAGTGAGTTTGGTTTAACGCCGCTTTTAACAGTATTCCAGTCATATCACATCTTGTCAGCTTAATGTGGGAGGAAAGCCCGAAGTGATGCAGGTCTCAGACGTTTACCACTTCGGTGAAACCCACGAGCATGGGTATGGTGCTGACAAACCTAGAAACATAATCTGGACGAACCGGGATTCGAACCCACAATCATAGGCTCTGGCGTGCCTAAGGGACGCAACTCTGCACAGCGAATCGCGGCGCCTTAGACGACTGGGCCACCCGTGCCCCCTTGATGTAATTTGCACCAGGTGCATGTTGACATGAAAACCTAGTTGCACCAGACAAAACCAGGTTTGCACCCTGGTCTAATAAATTTATCTAAATAAATAGAATCTCAGATCTCTGATAACTGCATTATGATTTTTAATACAGTTAGTACTTATGTAACAGTACTTATGTGGCATTGTCGTCAATGGCAACTGCCGTGTTATGCGTAATGATTATCATTATTTGGATGATCTAAACATCATAATGTGATACAGTGGTCAACTTCGGTGATAGATGAAGCTACAGATCAGTACATCATCTTGAAGTACCCACAGTTTAATGACATCAAGCCCATGAAAGCATGACAAATTACACATAACACAGGGGTTGTGATGTGATGGATTGTAGTGTGGTAAATATGGCTTAGAGGTATTGAGTGTTGTCCAAGAGCGAAGTTGTGTCTACAATTAAAGGTTAGTGAAGACACAAATTTGAATTTTTCACATGCACTTGGTATATGTAGACATTAACATTAGGTTGCAATTTTCAATAATAGGCTGCACTTTAGCAATAGAGGCTAACAGTTTTAGTCCACTTGTCCTTATAATGGCAATATATAGCAAAACCCTTAAAAATGGCAAATTTCTCCAAGTCCTTATGATAACCATCTTCCCGAGGCAAGAGAGTTAACTGATTTTAAAAGTCCTGTTTCCACCCTTGCCGAACTAGGCTGGAATTCCTGGGCTCGATCGTAGCGCCACCAGTGGCTATTACAAGTTATGTCCTTTCTATGCCTCTCCTATTGACCAATCAGATTCAACCTCTCGTATCACTTGCATTTGCTTCAAACAAAATGGTGGCACCCAGTCAAGACGATCTGATTGATAATCAAGATCTATATTGTTATAAAACGAGTCTTACATCGTGAAGTGCATCAAATCACGTGAGCACCTTGATTAAAAGCATGAAAAGATTTAGAAAATATCTGTTGACAACGAGTTAGCGGTGCACATGCTTTGCAAATCCTGCAGTCGACCGAAATCTGCATGACACTTTACGAACCGGATTTCGATTTCAGTACGCGATTTTGATTGGACTATGCATAGACTCGTTAGTCCAGCCAAAATGTAACTCCATAATACCTCGGGAAGATGGGTACATACTGACCTGTCCATGCTAGACATGCACTAATGCCAACTGTGCCTATGCCAGATGTTGGACAGTATGGTGTTGAAAGTAAAGAAGAACCCGTAACCTCATTGGAATGAAATATGCGGAAAGAAAGTAACACAGATCTCATAGTACAGACTCCTTCCCGTGAAAACAGAAGTGCACACGGCCTTACATCTTGTAGGTTGTCGACAACATTCTCCACTTTCTCGGCAGGGGTCTCCTGGTTGAGAGACTTGATGGCGGACATCCCGGAATCATACGCCTTCAGTATCTGTGGAGGGGAAACAAACATGGCTACTCAGCACGGATGAAACAATACACGTTGACAATCTCAGTAGTATCTGGACGAAACAATACACGTTGACAATCTCAGTAGTATCTGGTCTTACTCATTTAGCTAATCATACACAGACACTGACTTAACCATGTTAACCCATGTCAAAAGTAATATCATATTTTGTTCATGTTAATGATATTAGCACCATTTAGAATTCCTCCCAGTCTCTCTTTGTGTTGTTTATTTTCATAATGCCCCTTGCTGTTCGATGGCTCATTAGTCATTTTATCGTCAGTTTGCCCGTACTTTGTTCATGACATGGATGTTTTCCCTACCATTTCGACCCGTGAAGATTCCGGGTAGAATAGGTCTTCAGCAACCCATGCTTGCCATAAGAGGCGCCTATGCTTGTCTTTAAAGGCGACTAATGGGATCGGGTGGTAAGGCTCGCTGACTTGGTTGATGCATGCCATCAATCCCAATTACGTGGATCAATGCTCATGATGTCATCACTGGATTGTCTGGTCCAGACTCGATTATTTACAGACCGCTGTCATATAGCTGGAATATTGCTGAGTGCGGCGTTAAACAACTAACCAAACAACCCTACCATTTCATTTGTAGCAGCATCCTGAATCTTTGTCATCATGTTATGCAGCTGGTCAATGGACGCCATCTTCTGATTCAGAGTCTGCTCGACCCGCTTCTTCCTGCGAAGTGACTGCATGGCCTGGAACAACACAAACAACAGAGTGAGTGAGTGAGTTGGTGAGTGAGTTGGTGAGTAAGTGTTTGAGTGAGTGAGTTGGTGAGTGAGTGAGTTGGTGAGTTAGTGAGTGAGGGAGTTGGTGAGTGAGCGAGTTGGTGAGTGAGTGAGTTGGTGAGTGAGTGAGTTGGTGAGTGAGTTGGTGAGTAAGTGTTTGAGTGAGTTGGTGAGTGAGTGAGTTGGTGAGTTAGTGAGTGATAGAGTTGGTGAGTGAGAGAGTTGGTGAGTGAGTGAGTTGGTAAGTGAAGGAGTTGGTGAGTGAGGGAGTTGGTGAGTTAGTGAGTTAGTGTTTGGGGGAGTGAGTGAGTGAGTTGGTGAGTTAGTGTTTGGGGGAGTGAGTGAGTGAGTTGGTGAGTTAGTGTTTAGGGGAGTGAGTGAGTGAGGTTGAATACATGATACATCCAGAGTGAGTTTGGTCTTTGGGTGAGTGAGTTAGTGTCTGAGTGAGTGAGGTTGGATACATGACACATACAGAGTGAGTTTGGTGTTTGGGTGAGTGAGTGAGGTTGGATTCTATATTACAGTTTTTTAATACTGGTTGACTGTGAACTATTGAGACTGTCCCTGAGAGGCTTGTTGACAGCCAGCGAGCTCCGTAACAGATCTGTGTCAGCGCACTCGGTTTGTTACGGTCTGTGTGATTTCGGTGTTTGATTCTACCGAAAATGTTATCATTACATTGCAAACTTATGGGGATTGTGTCTTTGTTTGGAATTTGTGTGGTTATTTCATCTGAAGTGTGTACATATTCCAAAGTTTGGTTGCTCACTGCAGGTTTTTGGTAGGCCTGTCAGAGTTTTGACCAATCAGAGAAGGAGTCATAGACTGTTTCACTCTCCTGTATGAAAACATCACACGTGAAGTCATAGATCCATGACTTGAGATGCCCCATTTGTCTCGTGCAGGATTAGCGCGTAAAGTTTGGAAATCATATGCAGCATATCATGATAAGACATGCTGTCGTAACACTTGACTGATTGTTAGTTTTGTCATTAATTGGTACACATTGGAACCATCTATTTTTAATGTACATACTTCTCTATATATTTCAATAGTTCATGTTCTTTTGGCTGTGAGTATACCGTATTTGACGTAATAAGCACCCAGGGCGCTCTCAAAATTAGAAATAGGAGGCTCTTATTAGATTATTATTTTGGTGAAAAAAAAACAGAGTTGAAAGATCGTAAATTTCGTGGTTTATGCTGACAACCTGAAATGTTTATATATGACATATATTTTTCAAGAATTTAATTGCCTATAATTAAGGGTGCATATAACACACGTGCATATTATATACGAATAACTAAGTCTTGTGTACATTGATCAATTGGAACGGGTGCTAATTGGGATTGTTTACCAGCCAATATATTAGCAAATATCGCTGTGGGCGCTTATTAGAGCGAGGCGCTTATTAAGTCGAATACGGTATTAATAGCATTCAAGGAAAACAACAGAAGAATTAAGCTGCTGTTGAGTAAACCTGTCCCTCCCAGTTGGTATGAATCATAAACTCTTACCAGGGTCCTCTTTCCTTCCTTGACGTGAAGCTTGGCTTCATTCCTCAGTCTGAAACAGAAGATGGGGATGACATTCTCTACTCTGAAACAGTCTAACTACTACAATGATGTCTATGTATACATACATGTAAGGCAGAGTGAGTGAGTGAGTTGGGTTTAACGCTGCTTTGAACAGTATTCCAGTTATATCACGGCGTGTCAGCTTAATGTGGGAGGAAAGCCAAAAGTGATGCAGGTCTCAGACGTTTACCACTTTTGTGAAACCAACGAGCACGGGTATGGTGGTGACAAACCTAGAAACATAATCGGGGCGAACCGGGATTCGAACCCACAATCATAGGTTTCTGGGGTGCCTAAGGGACGCAACTCTGCACAGCGAATCGCGGCGCCTTAGACGACTGGGCCACTCATGCCCCCTTGTAAGGCAGAGAACTGTGGCACATTTCAAACCTATTAAAACATAATGAATACTAAAAAACTTTCGATTTTGAACTTTCGAATGATAAATATTAGCAAACTACGAATAAACATGACCATGATGACAAGTATAAAACTGAGTGACCCAGTGCTGAGATTTGATTCATATTAGATTGGTTGGTTGGTTGGTTTGTTGTTTAACGACGCACTCAGCAATATTCAATCTATATGACGGCGGTCTGTAAATAATCGAGTCTGGACCAGACAATCCAGTGATTGATATCATGAGCATCGATCCACGCAATTGGGATTGATGCCATGTATCAACCAAGTCTGCGAGCCTGACCACCCGATCCCGTTAGTCGCCTTTTACGACAAGCATAGTCACCTTTTACGGCAAGCATGGGTTGCTGAAGACCTATTCTACCCCGGAATCTTCACAGGTAGATTCATATTAGAGGGTAACTAGGTTAGATTCATATGAGGTAGTGTCTTTCTAGGCACTTAACAGATGGATGTTAGGTGAGGTGAAATTGTGATTAATGTTGCATCCAAGATTATTGCACTTATATAGCAACGTACATGCACATGTGTGTGTGTGGCTGCTTGTACTAGTCCGGACTGATGCCGATTTATAGTGCTAGATCACTGAGATACCATGCCGCAGTTTAACATGAATACCCCACTCAGACACAGTATACTGACTTCGAGCCCATCAGTCCTTGTCTTAGCCCCTTAATGCCGAGCGCCAGACAGGGTAACAACAAGTACCATCTTTTAACGTCTTTTGGTATGATGCGACCGGGGATCGAACACCGGACCTTCTGCTCTCCAATTGGACGCTCTACCACTAGACCACGTATTATACATACACAACATTCAGGACTATTTCCTTACCCTTCATGGAATAATGGGGCAAGAAGTAGCCCTGAAAGGTGTATGTATAATAAAAAATCAAAAATCAAAAATCAGTCTCATTGTCAGGAAACAAGCAGCTTCTCCCACTGTGAAATCAATATGACACCATAACTTGTACGTCACTTGATATTGATGGATGATGGATGAGTATTGCTTTAAGCCGCTTTTAGCAATATTCCAGCAATATCACGGCGGGGACACCAGAAATGGGCTTCACACGTTGTACCCATGTGGGGTAAGAACCTGGGTCTTCGGCGTGACGAACGAACGCTTTAACCACTAGGTTACCCCACCGCCTTGACTTGATACAGGGCATGGTATTCGGATTCTGTATTTCTACCACAGAGACAGTCTTGTCACAGAGTCCTACCAGGGTCCTATTTACATGTTAAACAGGTCCTGCAACATCAGTAGTAATATTACAGCCAGTGTGGAAGAGTTCCTGGCATTTGGTAGTCAGTCCTAGGCTGATTACATTCTGACAAACATATAGCTGTACTTCATATAATACATGAGAAATAGTTCATCATTTCAAGCAGAGTGTCTCCATATTGGATTTCAGCAAGATGGAACAAAGCGCAGTCATTAAGTTTTTGATAAAGGAAGGGTATCAACAGAAATTGATGCCCCTCATTACACGATTGTAACTCGATGGACTAGAGTTTAAAAATGGCTGAGTGTCCATCTAAGATGACCAACGGTCACGGAGGCAAATATTGACATGATAGCTGCCTTGGAAGGAGGACAATAAAAGATCGCAAGGTAAAGGTTGTGAAACTAGCCTGTGACTTTGAGGCTTCAGTGAGTGGCACTGAAAACATTCATCAACATTTTGGAACCTTTGTCTGCAAGATCTCCACCAAAGTACGGAGTGGAGCCACGAGGTCCTTGAACTCTGCAATAAGGTTCCTGTTTGGTAACAGGGGATGAGATGTAGATTCATCACTAGGATCGAGAGACAAAACTGAATCAATGCAATGGAAACATCTGCACCTTAGAAGTTACAGACTCGACCATCAGCAAGAACGGCATAGTGACAGTATTCTAGGATTCCAGGAATCCGCAGGCTGCTATAAGGGAATGTGGCTTTGTACAGTAAATTCATCCCCTTGAAGCCCAGACCTTGTTCCTAGTGACTATTATCTCTTTTGACAACTTAGGTCTGCATTGCGGGGACGTTTCACAGAACATGCCTTCATGCCTGCCGCTGACGCCTGATAATATGAGGGATAACAAGGTTGAGTGAGTAAGTATGGTCTTATGCCGCTTTTAGAAATATGCGAGCAATATCACAGCGGTGATACCATAAAATGTACCCTTGTTTGGAATTGAACCGAGGTCTACGGCATGACAAGCCAACGCATTAACCAATAGGCTACCTCAAACCCCATATAACAAGGTTGAAGGACAAATGGACTAAACGTTCTGAAAAGGAGGGTCTTTATATTGAAAAATAAAAATGAATTCAACTTTGTGTCCCTTGCTTTTGTATAGGACTTGCAAAAACTTTGTGAATGCCCCTCATATATATCCAGGGAACACAGAGAAGTACTGGAGACACAATGACTGTTGCCTTTAAAGCCACTTCGACATAATATTGGTTATATCCAGTTCCACCAGCTTCATAATGTTGATTCCCGACATGGGTACAATGTATGAAGCCCATTTCTGGTGTCCCCCGCTGTGATATTGCTGGAATATTGCTAAAAGCGGCGTAAAACCTCACTCACTCACTCTCTCATAATGTTGATGTAGCAGGAAGGTGATGCAAGTCTTGTCCAAAGGTAAACCCATGCACAGGCATGGTGCTGACAGACTATGGATCCTAATGGCGGCGGCAAGCTCTTGACCAGCAAACCATTGCACAGCTTGAGGCAGAGTCTTAGACCACTATGGCCTTGTCCCCCGAAATGAAAGAATGGAATGCCATACCCCCAACGTCTCATTACCTCCCTGTGAAGAATCTGAAAGATAACCTGGGGAGCAGTGGTTTACACTGCAGGTGTTATATAGTGTAAGTCAAATGACTGGGATTGGGATTGAGAGAAGAAGCAATTTAGTAACAAGTATTTGTCACAGAGTGACGAAATATCCCCCGCCTGTACACCATAGTACCAAATATGAAGACAATCCAGCGATTAGTTCTTGAGATATTGTGGCAACACCGTTTTCCAACTCTAAAAACAGATTTGCCTGCTGTGACCTTGAAAATGGGGTCAAGGTCACCAAATCTGACAGGTGTATGCGGTGTCTGTATATACACTATAGTTCCAAATATGAAGACAATCCAGCGATTAGTTCTTGAGATATCGCGGCAACACCGTTTTCTAACTCCAAAAGCAGATTTGCCTGCTGTGACCTTGACAATGGGGTCAAGGTCACCAAAACCGACTGGTGTCTGCGGTGTCTGTATATACACCATAGTTCCAAATATGAAGACAATCCAGTGTTTAGTTCTTGAGATATCGCGGCAACACCGTTTTCCAACTCCAAAAGCAGATTTGCCTGCTGTGACCTTGAAAATGGGATCAAGGTCACCAAAACCGACTGGTGTCTGCGGAGTCTGTATATACACCATAGTTCCAAATATGAAGACAATCCAGTGTTTAGTTCTTGAGATATCGCGGCAACACCGTTTTCCAACTCTAAAAGCAGATTTGTCTGCTGTGACCTTGGAAATGGGATCAAGGTCACCAAAACCGACTGGTGTCTGCGGAGTCTGTATATACACGATAGTTCCAAATATGAAGACAATCCAGTGTTTAGTTCTTGAGATATCGCGGCAACACCGTTTTCCAACTCCAAAAGCGGATTTGTCTGCTGTGACCTTGAAAATGGGATCAAGGTCACCAAAACCGACTGGTGTCTGCGGAGTCTGTATATACACCATAGTTCCAAATATGAAGACAATCCAGTGTTTAGTTCTTGAGATATCGCGGCAACACCGTTTTCCAACTCTAAAAGCAGATATGCCTGCTGTGACCTTGAAAATGGGATCAAGGTCACCAAAACCGACTGGTGTCTGCGGAGTCTGTATATACACCATAGTTCCAAATATGAAGACAATCCAGTGTTTAGTTCTTGAGATATCGCGGCAACAAACAGGTGGGACGTACGGACGGACGTACGGATGTACGGACGTACGGACGTACGGACGGACAGTCGTGAATACTATATCCCCCGCTTCGCGCTTTCGCGCGGCTGGGGATAATAACTCGAAATTGTAGCATGTCTCATTTTTAAAATGTGAGCTAATCATGCTGAGGACCAACATTTGATAGCCCACATGGATACAGTCTATGCAGGCCACTGGACATTTCTGCATCAGACAGGACACCAGTGCATGGGCTTATGTGGATGTGTCTGAACCAGTGAAACTGGTGACATGGCAATGTGAAACAACAAGGTGATGTAGCAAGTGAGTGAGTTGGGTTAAACGCCACTTAGGACAGTATTCCAGTTAAATGACAGCGTGTCAGCTTGATGTGGGATGAAACCCGAAGTGATACAGGTCTCAGGCGTTTACCACTTTGGTGAAACCCCCGAGCAGGTATGGTGCTGACAAACTTAGAAACATTATCAAGGTGAACAAGGTGATGTCACAAGGTGACAGCTGCTGTACTGACTTGTCACACTGCTGGGACAGAACCTCCGTCTGCTTCTCCAGGTTCAGCTGCACCTTCTGGATCCTGCAACAACGACAACAACATCATCATTAGCTGCATCAACAACAACAACATCAACATCTGAAACAACAACAGGGGTGACTATCAAGGGTTTTCAATAGATAATCTTAATACATTGTAGTACTATTTTAGTAATATAGGTACAACGTTTTCAGTAGGTGAACAAGTACTTTTACAAACTGAAATCGTTGGAAGAATTATTTTTGGATCAAAAATAGAATCTCACCCTCGTGCCTTTTGATATCAAATGTACCAACACTCATAGATAAAAGGTAAGGCTCTGAGTATCAACTCCTGTTGATCTATTTGATATCAAAGACACTGGGTGAGATTGTCTTTCACCTTCCTACACATTACAGTGTCCATGTCCTTGCATTGAATCACAACATGATGAAGCCAGACATGTCTGCCACGTCCAGGATTCAGAGCCTGGAGGTTGTTAGGGAGTTGTGGAAGGTCAGCGATAGAAGCTAACAGTTTTAGCCCACTAGTCCTTAAAATGGTACCATATAGAAAACTCGCAAATTTCTACTAGTCCAAAGGATACCTTAGCTATTGGGCAGTTTGGCAATGACTGTAGGACTAGTGACAATTTGTAAAGCTGAAGGTACTCCAAATTACTGTTGGATGTAGTGTTGCAAGGCATCGACAGTAACTATTCATATTATAACTTGCGAACATTTCCGAGGTTGTATGATTAGAAAACACATTCCGACTGTCACTTTCATGATCTGGTAAGCGACGCTTTGATTGGTCAGATGAAAAGTCAGATGATAGGTCGCTCTGAAGTGACCGTAATGGGATGTCCTCAGATCTTTGTTTAGCAATAGCAAGATCTAAGATCTTATATTAATGAGATTGGTCTTGCCTCAGGGCCATGTACAAATGCAACACAAGGATAGTAACTCCCAAAACAACCATAGCAACAGTGAGAATGGTTTTATGCCTTATATTGCTAGCGGGTTATTCACACATTGTAGCCCTGTTGAAAACAATAAAAAACATAATGTAAGTAACATGAGCAATGCGTTGAGAGTCACAGATAATGATACAGTTACAGGAGAGTCAGTGACAGCATTCCTGACTGCTATTCCCATGTTGTCACGCAAGCTTTACAACAGTTAACCAACTTTAGCCCCTGTGTGAAGAACTGAACTTTGGTCTTGTCAGTATTGTCTCCACAACCCACCACCTATATATTACCTGAAGACATTGAGCTCCACTTCGCTCACAGGGCCAACACGCTTGTCTCCCTTCTTTGAGAACTTCACAACCTGGAACAGAGTGAGTGAGTGGAGAGTGAGTGAGTGAAACATTGAGCACTGCTTTGAACAATATTCAGTCACTTCGAGTCATGGGTCTATGACATCACATGTGATGCATTCATGATCGTTAATCCAGACAACCTAACAGTATGTTCATTTGTGCATCACACCAATCGAATATCTCTTCAATAAGAGTAATTCTTCATATACTGACCAACATGTATTGCATTCATGTTTCTTTTGCCAGTGAGGACAGACAGACAGACAGACAGACAGACAGACATTATCCATAAAAGGGTCATGCCTTCATCCTTCAACTAGATATATCGCCCCATCACCATCAGCATCTGAAATAGCTGCCTGCCTGGAATCCAAAGGCTGGTAACATTTGCGTGGGGATAGGTGACATTAAGTTGCAACTGCCTCACAGCCCAGTCAACAATTTCAGCACTGAATGTATTTGAATGTATAGTCACAGTCAGGACAGAATTACTGGATAAAAAAGCAACATATGCTTGTGACTGTTCTGTTTGTTTGTTGTTAAACGCCGCATTCAGCAACATTCCATCAATACGACTATGTTCTGTAAATAATCTCGTATGGGCCTAAAATTGTAAATGACGCCCACCGCCATGGTACGATGAAACTCCAAGTCACTGAAACTGACAACCTGATCCAACAATCAGCTCAGTTAGCTGGGTATTTATTCTAATCGAGAATCCCCCCGTTCTGAATTTCCCCCTCTGAGAAAGATTTGAAAGATTTCTGAGAAAAATAATTGTTATCTCCTCTACAAAGTTGTTGAAGTATTGCTCTGTCATTCCATTTGTGAGTACTGTTTAAATAAACTTGGGATATTCATTCTTTCTATCTTGTTTTGTCTTTTTTTAGTTTTAAGCCCTGGGCTTATAGGTATTTGGATAAAATGTTAATAAAAAATTTTTTTAAAAATCCGTAATTAAGCCCAGGGCTAAAAATGTGCAGTCCTGGTATTTTTGCAATCGTTCCCTGAATCTGAATAACAAGATTTCACTGTTGTAAATGCATGGTTTAGACTATACATACAGTGTCTCTCTCCATGGTTTGTGTGACAACCACCTTCTTGTCTAGTGCTAGCTGTTGTATAACCAGGTCGAAATCCCTCTCCGATAAGCCCAGTGATGCATGCTTGGAGCGGAGAGCCCCCAGTTCCACTAGGTTGTCAGTCGACTCGTGCTCCACAGTGTCGTAGTGGAGACACAGCAGCTCACTACACTTCTCCTGAATGACAGAAAATACACTGGCTATTATTTTACATGCACACATAAACCCTGAATACTTATCATAAAAAAGCAATATTATCAGATTCATCACAATTTAACATGCTTACAACATGTACAAGGCTAAAATATTACAGATCATGTTCACTTGGCACACAGAGTTCCTCCCATCCCCAAAGAAAAGCATCCCTGTAAAAAGTGATAAGAAAGATAAACATGAGTGAGTGAGTGAGTGAGTTGGGTTTAACGCTGCTTTTAACAGTATTCCATTTATCAGTCGCAGACGTAACGTGTACGCGTTTATATCGCAGCGTGTCAGCTAAATGTGGGAGGCAAGCCCGAAGTGATGCAGGTCTCAGACGTTTACCAATTCGGTGAAACCCACGAGCGCGGGTATGGTGCTGACAAACCTAGAAACATAATCGAGGAGAAGCGGGATTCGAACCCACAATCATAGGTTTCTGGCGTGCCCAAGGGACGCAACTCTGCACAGCGAATCGCGGCGCCTTAGAAGACTGGGCCACCCGTGCCCCCAAGATAAACATGAAAACGCTATTTGTTATCATTACCTGATTACAACATGGAATCAAAAAAGGCTCTGCTTATACATCATGATGTTCATGTATACCCTAAGATGAGAATTAACTTATTACTGTCAGCAGCTGATGCAGGACCAGTGGCTCCGAGTTGTCTTCCGACTTCCTCCACACCGCACTCAGTCCCCAGGACATCGGCCTCCACACAAACGTGCTGAAGCCCCACCCCAGCCAGCTTGAGCTCCCTGCTTTCTGATACTGGGACACTTTGTGTAACTTGCCACTCCTGCAAATTGAGATAACAGACAAACACATTGAACATGTCAAACATTATCTCAAAAGCATCAAACATAATCGTTTCCAATTTTCCAGAATCACAATGAATATTTCTGCATATTTAAGAAATTACTGAAATTAAGGATTCACACTTTTCATCCTCAACCATGTCAGCGAAACATGGAATGTAACACTCCAGTGTCAGAAAGAGTCCTTGAGATTTGCTAGCACTATATTTGAATTTAAGGGTGCACTAAAACTTTCAAAATCAGGGTTATGATTGGGACCCCTTTACTTTCAATGTCTCATACATTCCTCTTCGTTCAACACTTGTCAACATGGTTGAAAACAGGGCTCTACAGTGTTGACTCTAGGCTGGGACGAGTCCAAACAAATTTACTACCCGGGTACCCACCCACCTATTACCCGACCCTACCCGGGTACCCACTGTAGGTCTCAAGAGATAGGTACAAAATGTAGGTATGGGCAAAATGTATTTAGAGACACGTCTAAAACGATCTGGTCATGCATATTTTGAAGTTGACTGAAGTTTTATGTTTATTCAAACATATAAACATCTGGGTGCATAGTCAGAAAGAAATGCCAACATTAATGACTTGTGGTGTAACGATATAGTTCAAGATCATTTTTGTCATTAAACAATATATCACATGACCAACCAAGGGTCCGGGTAGTTCTGTGAATACCTGGGTCCTTCTCAGTACCCACCTGACCCGAGTACCCAAGTTACCTGTCCCAGCCCTAGTTGACTCTCAACTAGCCAAATTTGAATATGACTAACCCAGCTTATTGTTTGTTGTTTAACGCCGCACTCAGCAATATTCCAGCTCTTTGACGGCGGTCTGCGAATAATCAATCCACGCATATGGGATACGATGACATGCATCAACCAATTCAGCGAGCCTGGCCAACCGATCCCGTTAGTCGCCTCTTACAAGCCTGGGTTGATGAAGACCTATTCTACCCTGGATCTTCACGGGTCTGACTAGCCCAGCTAATGAAGCATAACCACTATCAGATACTGTATGAGTGAGTGAGTGAGTTGTGTTTAATGCCTGTTTTTACAGTATTCCAGTCATATCACGGCGTGTCAGCTTAATATGGGAGGAAAGCCGAAAGAGATGCAGGTCTTAGATGTTTACCACTTCGGTGAAACCCACTAGCACGGGTATGGTGCTGACAAACCTAGAAACATAATTGGGGCAAACCAGGATTCGAACCCACAATCATAGGTTTCTGGCATGCCAAAGGGACGCAACTCTGCACAGCGAATTGTGGCGCCTTAGAGGACTGGGCCACCCGTGCCCCCAGATACGGTATGATATGCACTACTTGCTCGCGTAGAGGCTTCCCATTTAAACAAATATCTAAAAATGTCCTTTCTGATATTTTGTTCTTACTTTTCGGTAAATATGCATTGAATACTTATTACACATTCAGAATTTTACTTGTGCTGTCTGTGCACTTGACTGCAAAAATCACTGACGTCTGGCATCATCATACATGTACTTAGTGGTAGGTAGAATTATGTCCTGTTTTTGTCCAATTCTGACCTCCATACACAACTTTTCCCTGTAACGTGATACAATGGAGTTCTCTCCCTTGTCAAACTGAGCGCAAGGCCCAGCTTTCACTCGATGCTACGAATGTAAATAATGAACATTTATCAGTAAAATATACATGCCTAGATAAAATAAGTAACATCTCATATAGAGAACACGAATAATCATAAAGGTTAGTGAGTGCATTTTGTTCTGTTCAGCGTACATAACAAGTACCGAGATACCCCGAGGTTGCAGGCTATATTTATGGGTCTGATGTTTCAGTGATATCACTAGGGTGCAGGCTAAAACTGCACCTCAGCAAAACGTCACCGATTTCTCTGGCGAAAATGGCACCGCATTTGGCGAAAGCAGCTACTATGTGTCGGGCAAAAATGGCACCTCAATTTTTAATAACGATAAGAACGATTTATGTATTACTATATCTTCATCACGTGTTGACAATATCGGCCTATGTACCACCGAACATTGTGATAGTTGCTGACTCAGCTAATTTCTCGATAACGAGCCACAGAAAGTCTGGTACCACATACACGATGGGTCCACTGGTCAGAGTTGTCACATGATACAGCATGTTTATTTTTTCTGACATTCTTATCGCATGAAACACATCGAAAGGCCACTGAATAATCATGACCAATCGTCACCATGTTAGGCCTCTCAAATACAGTTTCAGCTCGACATTGAGTAAACTTCAAAGCGTATAGTGTTTTCACAATAAGTTAGCTTCGCCTCCCAATCGGAGTCGGTGAGTAAATTGGAGTAGGGGGCTAATTTCTAAGGTAAACTTGTTTTAACATTTTACAATTATTTGTGTTCGTAAGAGACAATGTGAGTTTAATTTAATTTATTTTACTTCAAAGCATGTTATGTTTTCACAATAAGTTGAGTTGTGTATAGGCTAAGTTGGAATATAGTTGGAGTAGAGGCTAATGTCTAATGTAAACTTGTTTTAACATTTCACAATTATTGGTGTTTGCAAGTTACCATGTAAGTTTAATTTAATTTGAACAAGGTTAAAAAAATATAGAACATGATATAAGGTGCCGTTTTTGCCAAGCAATAGTAGCAGTTTTCTCTTGAGGCGAGGTGCCGTTTTCGCCCGGGTATAGCTATAACCCTATCACTGTACTGCTTCAGGCACCTGTGAGAAAGGGCACAGTGTTTAAGCAGTTTCAATAAGACTGGCTTCCTGCTGCCATTATTCACCATGTTCACTGTCCCTCATTGGCACCCGTCTAATTCCCATAACACACATCTAGTCTATGGCCATAAAAGTGATCATACAGTTGTATGCTACAAATAAACGCAGCTACATTATATATGGTACGGAGACTAATTTTGATCTTTACCTTTGCATTTCAACACCAACAACATCAAGACACCCAGGTTTTTTCCCATTTCTTACAAAACGACTTTGTAGTTCCTTCACATCAACAATTATACGGTTATTCTGTCGACAGTCTTCACTGATGACGTGAGTCCAAAATTTCAACTTTCGATCCCATGATTGCGGATTAAGAGATCTGTCGCGGAATGGAGCAAACAACACTGTCATCTTCTGACCGTCCTTCCATTCCGGAGGCAGGAATAACTTGTCGCTTGACATAATCAAGCTAAGTGGTTGATGTAACCATCTAATCGCATTAGAGATGGCTTATCACCACAAGAACAGTCAATTAATCCATCGCTTCCAACAACCACATTGCAATGTTATCATTTGTGAATGTCTATCGGTATTATTATCCTACAACAAATATAAGTTAAATTTAACATCGCTACGATAAAGTGTTATTAAGTACGACAAAAATCAAACAAAATCTTATTAAAAAACCCGATAAATCTGATAAACATATTTTCTTATCACTGCAAGAAGGTATTGTAATTTGTGACAGTGTATCTAATTTATTTTTTACCATATGTTATACGTTTTCTGGGTAATAGTATGTACGAAAACCGCGGAAGTCACGCGGACAACTGACGTAACGCGTGACGTTAGCGAGAATTTGTGAATTGGTCATATCTTACTATCATTTTGTGATGCATGAAAACTCCCTCCTTAGTTTTTGTAATTTAGAAAGTTCGCCTTTCTGGACTATACCAGTGTAACTACCATCTTCAAGATGAATTCTCTTCGAAGATGGCTGTACAGGCCAAAGGTAAGCGAATGTGTGACCACAATGCCTGCTAGTCTAGCTCCTGTCGCGCACCTGTCTGTTTTGGCAGTCCATTTTATTTGTTTACAGAAAAGATAAATGTTGATAACTGAAGTAATTTGATATCTAAAGTGTTGGTGTGACAAATGAAATCAGTCCCATTGTCTTTTAAGGGTTTGTATGCCCCTCCATGATAGTTTAATCTCAGGAAGATAAATAGGTTTTCATTGTTTATTTGCTGGTTATTTGGCCTACTTTTGGATAGTTTGGACATGGATCATCAACTTTTGGATTTAATAATGATAGAGTGAAACATAACTATGTCGATCGTGTGTACATCGTGAATGTTGTGACCTGCGAGTATCAACCACACCCTAATCAACAATTCCCAACTTGTTGGATGTTTTAAATAATCAATAACATATATGAGATTCACCTCGGTTAATGTTCTTAGGTTAGATGTAAAAGCACGAGGCTAGCTTGATGATGAATCACTATGACTTAGTCATTGTTATGTTTTCACCAATTTTTTGATTTGATCACAGATTATGTATCTATTGTCATATATTGCATCTATTTCCCTTATTGCAGATAATCATTGTCATAAATATTTATTAATTTGAAATGCAAAACTTTATCATGTTTATGATACTGTTTTCCTTATGTCATATTTCTGCCTTGCTTTTATGCCTAAAGCTTAAACTGGAGTATGGTACATTTCAATGAACATGACAAAACATGTTTCAGAACATCAGACCTGACAATGTCAAAATGTTATTCAATAATCATGATTATGTCAGAGATTTGTTTTTTGTTGTGTAAAACATTGTAAATTACACACATGAACATGGTGAGACATGTTCATCTAACTAATTATCAAATAACATTAAAGCTTGGTAATAAGTGATCACCTTCAACATGTTCAATTTTGAATATTTGAAAACGTACTGCTCATCTATGACAATCCTGTTTGTATTTTAAGTTTTAGACCAACTGTCTCAGACATTTTCATGACCTTCCTGATGAGGTGTGTGAAGAGATAATACTGAGATAATTTTGCGATTGAAAGACTGGAAAGTCAAAGTGCAATACAAAATGTGGTATCTGGTGTACACATGGTAAACTGGAATAATTTTGATACATATGACAATAAAATCTTGTATTTTTGTCAGATATCCATATATTCAGGTAAACATAATACCAATGTACCCTATGAGTTAAATATGTTAATAGATTTTTATGTATGTTTCAAAGCTAGAATGTCGATCAGATCTAGCTCTGCATCTTGAGTTTCCTGTTGTGATGAACCAGGGAATCGTTGCAACCTTATCATGCTTATTTCATTTTAAGAAAGGATAGGATTTATGGATGAACAACTTCTTTATTACAACCATAAATCCTATTCTTACTTAATACTCCAACTTCTAAATGCCCTTCAAAGAACTTATTTCATATTGTTGAGCCTTGATTAAGAATCTTTAAATTTCAGTGCTTAACCCATGTTAACCCATATACCATGATTACATGCTGAAAAGATAGATTTCACTGCTGACATATCAATACTGACAAGGTTTTGTCAATCATGTGGCTTGTCACGCAATCACAATTGACCTGTAACATTATCAATATTGACTTCGTTGCTTGAAAACATCTAGTAGTCTGTGAACAGGTATATATAGTTGCCACTCTTTCTTTCAAAAAGGTGAAATTAAGCATTTTATGAACGAAACAAATGATCACTCCTGGTGAGATCATTGTGCAGAAACAAAGACCCTTGGAACATGTGGAAAGTGGACCTGACCCCTTGGGTGGGCTGACCAAGCTTTGGCCTGCTGTACTGTTGTGAGAAAATGACTGCAGATTCAGTGAAATATTTGGCTCACTTCATCTCTGTTATATTAATGTTTCATTGATGAAACATTGATGTTCATGATGTCAATCACTGGATTGTCTGGTCCAGACTAAATTCTTTACAGATCGTTGTCGTCATGTTGTTGGTTTAAAGCAGTACTCAGGGAAGATTCTTATCTTTTAGCTTGATGTGACTGAGTCACTGTCCTAGTCCGGTGAAGATCCGGGGTAGAACAGGTCTCAAAGTTTAAGTTTTTCCCAAGGAGCCATTGGCTCCTAATAATTGTTTTCAGGTAGCCAATGTGAAATTCCAGAAGTTATGTGAAAAATTAAGGAGCTGAACTTCAAGATAATAGTCAGTAATGTATAATACTGTTAAACCATATCATAATATGCCTACCTTTGGTGTATCAACAGCTTTGTTGTTAAGTACGTTGTTGTAAGAACAAGATTGTCGATTAATTTTTTACCTCACAATTCCCATAATGATTTTAAAAAAAAATTATAATGAAATTTTAGTTCAGTCAGTCAGTATTTATTAATGTATTGCATTTCTGTCTCTACTATTATGCAGTTAGTGATATCAGGTCGCCAGCTTGATTTACAAGTAGCCAAGTGGTGACTGCTTAAATAATATTAGTTGCCAAAAGGAAATTTCATTCACCATGGCGACCAAATTAGTTGCAACTTTGAGGCCTGTAGAAAAGGTGTTCTGCAGCCCATGCTTGCTATAATAGGCGACTATGCTTGTCATAAGAGGCGACTAACAGGATCGGTTGGTTAGACTCGCTGGCTTGGTTGATGCATGTCATCGTATCTCAATTGCCTGGATCAATGCTAAAGTTGTCAATCACTGGACTGTCTGGTCGAGACTTGATTATTTACAGACTGCTGTCATATAGCTGGATTATTGCTTACTACGGTATTAAACTACAAAGAAATAAACAATCATGACGACACTCTGTAAAAAATCGAATCTGGACCAGGCAATCCAGTGATTGACATGATGAACATCATTCATGTCAACGAGCCTGACTGCCCGATCCCATTAGTGGCCTCTCATAACAAGCATAGTCACCATCATATAGCTGGAATATTGATGAATGGGGCGTTAAACAAACAAACATTGTCATTGTTACCTCTTTGGCCAACATCTAGTGTTACAGATTGATTTGAATACCCAGGTGTAGGGCTGAGAACATCCCCTCATTGCCAGTCAGTATGAATGTGATGAAAGTCCAGCAATAATGTTATGGACCCATATTCTAAAAAATGGAGTAACACTTTTGTTCTCTGGGATCAATGACCTGGTAATATTCAGATCAGGTGTTAAGTCAACACTTTTTGCAATAGGGCAAAGGTGACCCAGTCGTCTGAGAAGCCACAATTCACAATGCATAGTTGGGTCCTGTAGGTGTGTCACTGCCAGAAGCCTATGATTCAGCTCCCCGATTCACAGAGATTAATTGTAATGGTTTGTCAGAACCATATCTCTACTCGTTGGATTGCTTTCCTCCCAAATTGAGCTGACATACCATGACTTGCTCAAATTGCTAAGATCCACTTGTAAACGACTTCAATGTATGCCACATTCAATCCATCTGGCTCCCCATTGGGAATTAGGTCAGAACAGGGTGCCGTTGTACAAAACAACCTTATGGCTATATATGACTGTCGTGCTTCATCACATAGATGGAATATTGCTGAGTGTGACATTAAACAACAAACAAACAAAAGTTTGTGTTACGGTAACATGGGTATGGGAGTTATGAACACCTTAGCGCTAAGATCGCTAACAGGTGACATTGTGGATCGGGTGGTCAGACTCGTTGACTTTGATGATCCAAGTCATCATATCCCAATTGCATAGACTGATGCCCCTTATGTCAATCATGGATTGTCTGGTCCAGACTCGATTGTTTACAGATCGTCATTATGTAGTTGGAATATTGCTGAGTGCAGTGTTTGAAATAGACATCAGCCGGAGGCCGACAGATTTATTCTCGGGCTGATAGTTATAAATTTCATCTGGCCCTTGAGGCCTGCAGTTCATAGGAGGAATTACCCAGTATTTTCTCATGCCACTGAGCGAAACAATTATCGGGAAATGTGTGATGAATGATAGATAGTACTTAAAATTCTTTTCATCATCATTTTCCGATTAATGAAAATTAAAAGGAAATAAATTAGTGGATAGCACTTTTGTGAAATCTTAAAAATGCCCCTAATCACCATAATTTTTGTTTCCTTGTTGCTTAATCTGGACATTATGAATGTGTTATAAACTTTTTATTGAAAACAACTTGAGTTATAAATGCATTACTTATATATGACAAAAATAACATTCATATTTATAAACAAAAGGATTAGACCCTGGATCATTACTTATAATATCAATCACTGGATTGTCTTGTCCAAATTTGCCTATTTACAGGCCGCCATGATCATATAGTTGGAAAGTAGTGGAGTGCAGAGTTTAGGAAGAAAAAATCAATCTGCCTATATTGTTTATATTATTGACTGACCAGCTTCATTGTTCCAGAGGACAGACACCTCTCTGCTGGCCCAGTTCTTCTATTCTGATGAGGACCTGAACATGGTAGCAGCAGAGCTGGACAGTTTTGATGGGCGCAAGGACCCGGAACGTTGCACTGCGCTGGTGAACCAGCTCCGGGCTTGCCAGGACAAGGTCCTCACAGCCATACAGAACATCATGGAGGACGCAGTGCCGGGCCAGAGAGCCAGTCGGGACTTCCGCTGTAAATTCCCGGACGATGTTATCCAGGAAAACCTAGCAGGTCAGCTGTGGTTTGGGGCAGAGGTGAGAGACGCTGACATGCTTGTGCCACTTTCTTGTCCCAATCGTCAGTTAGTTTTGATATTTCAATGTTGCATGAAGTATGAGTGTGTTAGTTGTGATTATACTCAATGATGCTTAAGTCACAGTCCGTGAAGTCTGTGTCAAAATCTTATGAGTCTACAGCACTAGTCCTATAATCTTTGCCAAACTGCCCAATTGTTAAGGTACCACAGGGATTGACTTAAGCCGTGATTCTGCGATATTCTCGCATAGTTGTCGTAGATATCGTATCAACATTCAATCAGTGCATAGATCTTATATTTTTTTCTGCATTAACAATCTCATTTTCACCTACAAAAATAAATAATGTCGTATTGCTTGAATAAATTTATCTTAAGGTACCTAAAAATGTCAATAAAAACATACAGGGTAGTTTATTCAGTCATCAAAAGTTGTCAAATCAAAACCGTGATTTGCATACTCGCAACATTGCATGCTATCTCTTACTGTGCATAACCGATTCTTATATCACTGCATGAAGCTTTGCATCAGCTGACAATGGTGGAGTGCGCAACATTTTTTTTTATCCCCGATAGGCAAAACAAGTGTTTGTGTTTACAAACTAAAGACAGAAATCAAATCAAATCAAAGACATTGATCTACATGTATGTGTGTATGTGCAGAAATCAAGAGAAAAAAAGGCAATCACAGTTAATAGTTTCAAAACACAAGCAAATTTCGTTTTTGAAATGACAGCAAAACAAAAACTAAATTAATATACATACAACTCTTTCTTCATAATAATCTACAAATTGCAGATCAGAAACGATCATATTTTAGATGAGATTCGCCTAGCCGATGATGGCACCGGTGGACGAGTTTTCATGAACGTACCCTCGTACAAGAATGACTACCATGCGTGAATTACAAAGTTTGAACTATTTCTAGTGGCCAAACAGCAAGTCTCTCAAAGGTAAAAATTTCCAGGATAATCCCTGTACCATAAGCATTGATAAGGAAAAGTAGAACTTTGCCCATTAATGTTTTGCTGTATGTGATCATAATGAGGACTAGTGGACTAAAACTGTTAGTTTCTGGCATGACCATGGACTACCTCATTAATCTCTTTGTACCACTTCTAGTAGAGTTTAGTGTTGATGTGTTGGACCCTGTGTTAACTGAGCTTACCAGACAACATATCGGTAAGAATTACGAACCGATTTGTAGTTAATAGTCCCAGAATGAACTCATGCCAAATGTATCAGTAGTTGTGTTTAACCTTCAGCATGTTGAATATCGTCCATTATGGCATTTTAGTAGTTTCAATAATGGGCTGTCAGTCTTGCGAATTTAGTATGAACAATATTATCAGGGAGTTATCAGTGTTATCAGGTGTTCACCTTTTCCTAGGTGTTACTGTTTGCCTTTCAGTGAGTTTTTGGGACTACTGCTGTTGTGGATTTGTCATCCTTGTTGTAGACAATGTAGACCACTACTTTATCCTGTTATTGAAAGCAGCCAGCATGTCCTACACCTGGTTATTGTTAGCCATTGTATACAGATGGGGAATTATGATGCATTAATCCATGTTCCTCATCTCATGTAGCCAAGTGTTACTGAGCAACACTGTTGTGCATTATGATTTCAATAATATGGGTGTCATATATGTATTGTGGCATTTGTGCAGAATTCAGAGAAATTGTTTGTCATCGGACAATTTATTTGTCCAAATCTGATTGTCCAAGTATTGTGGCCAGCAACAATGTGGAGAACCTTTGACATAAAAAGTGTTTTGTCAAACACAAATTTGTTTGACTAGTGGACTGTGGAGGTACAGCGACATCACATGGAGTACATTAATTAATTAATTGAACCACCACCTGTACATGTACTTGATGAGGGAAGACACCTGACCTCTGACAATTTTGGCCTCTGTAGCCACCAGTCTGAAGCCAGTCTTGTGTTTTTCTAAGAAGTTCTGCTAATAAAAGTTCCTATGTAATAAGAGGGGGCATGGGTGGCCCTGTCTTCTCAGGCTATGCAGCGTTACATCCCTTTGGGGACGCCAGAAACCTCTGATTGTGGGTTTGAATCCTGCTTAGCCATGAATATGTTTCTAGGTTTGTCAGCACTATCACTTCAAGCTTTCCTCCCACATCAAGCTGGCAGCTGTGATATAACTGCAATACTGTTTAAAGCAACATTAAACCCAACTTGCTCACTCACTTATTAGACGAAAAATCTTCTGAATATGATGCTGAATATGACCAGGAAGGTTATACATGCAACAGCTGTATCTTGGTGTAATGCCATGTGGATATAAATAGCTATATCTTGGTGTAGCGCCATGTGGATGTCAGTAGCTGTATCTTGGTGTAATGCCATGTGGATATAAATAGCTATATCTTGGTGTAATGCTATGTGGATGTCAGGAGCTGTATCTTGGTGTAGTGCCATGTGGATGGCAGGAGCTGTATCTTGGTGTAATGCCATGTGGATGTCAACAGCTGTATCTTGGTGTAATGCCATGTGGATATAAATAGCTATATCTTGGTGTAATGCCATGTGGATGTCAGGAGCTGTATCTTGGTGTAGTGCCATGTGAATGTCAACAGCTTTATCTTGGTGTAATGCCATGTGGATGTCAACAGCTGTATCTTGGTGTAATTCCATGTGGATGTCAACAGCTGTATCTTGGTGTAATGCCCTGTGGATGTCAATAGCTCTATCTTGGCTTCTGCCATGTAGAAGTCAATAGAATGTTGGTTATTGATTTGTACAGCTCTTGTCATTGTTCACTGTTGTTTACTGTCATGCTGTAACTGACTACAGACCAGTAGTGCAGGATGAAGATCACCCAAGCATTCCATCTGTCTTTCATCATGTCTGTGGCGGCTCTTGCGCCATGTTTCAGCACAGGACATAACATTCCTACTTCCATATTCCAATTTCCGTGTCATCAGTAAGTGGTGGCACATGGTCCTGGGTACAGCACACAGGCCACAAATCAGGTTACGTCATGCAGCATTGGTGGTGGAGAGTAGTTGGATGGGTGACAGTGATGCTTGACACTGAGTGTCCAGGGTTCGGCTGCTTGACACTGAGTTTCCAGGGTTCGGCTGCTTGTCACTGAGTGTCCAGGGTTCGGCTGCTTGACACTGAGTGTCCAGGGTTCGGCTGCTTGACACTGAGTGTCCAGGGTTCGGCTGCTTGACACTGAGTTTCCAGGGTTCAGCTGCTTGACACGGAGTTTCCAGGGTTCGGCTGCTTGACACTGAGTTTCCAGGGTTCGACTGCTTGACACTGAGTTTCCAGGGTTCAGCTGCTTGACACTGAGTGTCCAGGGTTCGGCTGCTTGACACTGAGTGTCCAGGGTTCAGCTGCTTGACACTGAGTTTCCAGGGTTCAGCTGCTTGACACTGAGTGTCCAGGGTTCAGCTGCCTGACACTGAGTTTCCAGGGTTCGGCTGCTTGACACTGAGTTTCCAGGGTTCAGCTGCTTGACACAGAGTTTCCAGGGTTCGGCTGCTTGACACTGAGTTTCCAGGGTTCAGCTGCTTGACACTGAGATTCCAGGGTTCAGCTGCTTGACACTGAGTTTCCAGGGTTCAGCTGCTTGACACTGAGTTTCCAGGGTTCGGCTGCTTGACACTGAGTTTCCAGGGTTCGGCTGCTTGACACTGAGTTTCCAGGGTTCAGCTGCCTGACACTGAGTTTCCAGGGTTCGGCTGCTTGACACTGAGTTTCCAGGGTTCAGCTGCTTGACACAGAGTTTCCAGGGTTCGGCTGCTTGACACTGAGTTTCCAGGGTTCAGCTGCTTGACACTGAGATTTCAGGGTTCAGCTGCTTGACACTGAGTTTCCAGGGTTCAGCTGCTTGACACTGAGTTTCCAGGGTTCGGCTGCTTGACACTGAGTTTCCAGGGTTCAGCTGCTTGACACTGAGTTTCCAGGGTTCGGCTGCTTGACACTGAGTTTCCAGGGTTCGGCTGCTTGACACTGAGTTTCCAGGGTTCAGCTGCCTGACACTGAGTTTCCAGGGTTCGGCTGCTTGACACTGAGTTTCCAGGGTTCAGCTGCTTGACACAGAGTTTCCAGGGTTCGGCTGCTTGACACTGAGTTTCCAGGGTTCAGCTGCTTGACACTGAGATTTCAGGGTTCAGCTGCTTGACACTGAGTTTCCAGGGTTCAGCTGCTTGACACTGAGTTTCCAGGGTTCGGCTGCTTGACACTGAGTTTCCAGGGTTCGGCTGTTTGACACTGAGTGTCCAGGGATCGGCTGCTTGACACTGAGTTTCCAGGGTTCGGCTGCTTGACACTGAGTTTCCAGGGCTTCAGCCCTGCCCCAAACTGAAGCACATGTAACAAGTGTTAGGCAAATGACTTTGTTCAGAGGATGCCTCTGTTCACCTTGCAATGAATGGGTACCCGGTAGGAGGTGATGGTAATATTACTGTTAATATTCTAGCAGGCTTCTTGGGTTGTATACTGCCAAGGGAGCTGACAATGAAATCGTGTGCACACTGATCCAGTGACTGCTGTAATCGATAGAGGATATTATACGAGCAGGTGTGTCTTACTGATTTTACGAATCGAGTGTCAGAATTCAGTATGACACACATATGAGTGTAATAATTTCTATATTACCCATTATTTCTTAATATTTTTTAGCTCCCCTTTAGAAAAATGCTCTGATCACAACCATTGTCCTAGAAAACCACAATATGATTCGAATGACGTCAACAATACGCTGGTGTAGGTGAAGTGATATTTGCACTAGTGCACATACAATTTTTATCAACCCAAAGGGTAATAATAACATATAATGGTCTAATTGCATTCGAGCAGTTACATTTTGGAAACTGTACAGAACAAGTTGTGGATGTTGAACGTGATGGGCCGTGGTGGATGTTGACTGTGATGGGCCGTGGTGGATGTTGAACGTGGTGGATGTTGAATGTGATGGCCTGTGGTGGATGTTGACTGTGATGGCCTGTGGTGGATGTTTCAGTGTCTGGCGGCGGGGTCAAGCATCATGAACCGCGAGGCGGAGAGTGCCAGCATGCGGCCCTTGGCGCGGGCACTCACCAAGATGCTGGATAGTCTCCGGACTATCCTGAGGGAGCAGTGTCTCAAGAACATCCACGAGTACACAGACAGGGTAAGTGATCAAGTCTTTGAGTGAGTGAGTGAGTGAGCGTTTGCTGTTTGACGCCACATTCAGCAATATTCCAGCTATATGAAGGCAGTCTGTAAATGTAAATAATCGAGTCTGGACCAAATAAGCCAGTGATGGACATCATGAGCATCGATCCATGCAATTGAGATACGATGACTTGCTTCAACCAAGTCAGCGAACCTGACCCTCCGATCCTGTTAGTTACCTCTTACGACAAGCATAGTCGCCTTTTAGTCGCATGGGTTGCTGAAGACCTATTCTAGTCCGGGTCTTCATGAAAGGCATTTAGAAGTGATACACATCAGGAAGAGAATCATGCATGTCAACTTCTTTATGATGAGGAACACAATGTTTTGAAGTATATGTTTACTGATGAAGGAGTAAGTATTATATATACTCTGAAACGTGTTCCTCGCCATGAAGAAGTTGACATCCATAAATACTCTTCCTTAGGGTACGTGATGCCTATCACTTTATGCTGAAGATGTTTATGGCTGTTTTGTAGAGGCTAGGATACTCACCCCTTTGTGGTTGGTGATCACATGACTTGATCATACCACTGAATAAACAATAGGATGAACCATGGTCAGAAAGTATTTATCATCTTGTCCTTGAATCCAGGTTTCATAAGTCATTGTGATCAGTTGTAATGGATTAATCTTGAAACCTTGAAATGCTGTCTGTAATACGCTTGATCAGGAGGTATATAATAAATGTATACAAACACAAATAACTGAAATTGTGAATTTTAATTATTTATTTTTGACCTACTGACCTGAATATTTGGCCCAAAAATCTGTAAACCAAAACAAAATATGTTCTGGTCTTACCATGCTGATAGTGGAAAACAAGCAGTACAGCGAGACTCATAATTTGATCATAACCCTGAGAAGTGACTGTACAAAGGATGACCCTTCAGTACTGGTGTATTGTTGGTTAGATGTATTGTTGGTTAGATGTATTGTTGGTTAGATGTATTGTTGGTGTAGAGATCAATGGGTTGATCTGTACTGGTATTCTCTTCCTGTGTGAGAGCAGTTATATTCATCACCTGCACAACTGTAACACTATATCCAATGAATCAATAATCTACCGGCTTGTGATTGTTAAGTGCCATTATTAATTCATCATCCATATATTCTATTCTCCCCAGTATATATATTATGTCTACAATGACTTCAAATGTCACCATGTTTAACGTCTTCAGTCTTCCTGCCTGATATTGATGTTTTTGTTTTTTCTTTCAGATCAAAGAAGCACTTATTATATTCGACAAATTATTTGCAGAATTTGAGCTCAGGTTTGTATAGATTATTGTCTTTTGATAGTTAAAAAGTGTGAATATTCCCTGACTACATGACATGAATCATTTTCTCAACAAATATAATAATCTGTTACAATAGTGGCCCTCACTAGACCTTAATGATATTAAGTTGGTTGGTTTGTTGTTTAATGCCACACTCAGCAATATTCCAACTATATGACAGCGGTCTGAACCAGACAATCCAGTGATTAATATCATGAGCATCGAACCACGCAATTTGGATTGATGACATGCATCAACCAAGTCAGCGAGCCTGACCACCCGATCCCGTTAGTCGTCTCTTACAACAAGGATAGTCGCCTCATACGACTGCGGCATGGTATCTCAGTTGGCTGTCCTTGGGATGAGACACAAAGATGTGTAATGTAGTGACATGAAAGGACCACGAGAATACAGCATCCTGTTGTCATGGTGATAACATCAACATGTGGTTGACATGTATGAAAAAAGACATAAACAAGTTAGACAATATGTCCTGATTAGAGTCTTGGTCTTGGTGGTAGCAGCAAATATTCAAGTGGTACATCTTGCTTATTGTTAAATAGATATGTGTATCGCTGTTGCGAGTTTATGCGACATCTTGGACACTTGGGGCAGCACACAGACAGATACAAATTAAAAGTCACCTAAAACAGCATTACAAGTATTATAATTAAGAACAATGTCTACTCATTGGTGTAAACATATCCAACAGACTAGATCCAAGAGAGTAAACATATTGAATACCCAATGAAAACTCTGAATACCCAATGTGAATGATACAGTGTGAGTAATTACTCAGTGGTTACAAAATTTATCTGTAGCCCTGCAAATATATTAATGTTCAAACACTCAGACAAGAAGACTAAACAACCTGAAGCAATCACTGACCATGTCATGTTTGAAGTCTGTGGCATGACGGGCAGTGTCAACCCATCCTGTTGGTGTGATGTTGACGGAAGTGACCGGTGTCTCGCACCAGGAAGTGATGGCTCGCTAGAAGACCATCACATGTCACAGGCACTGGTCACAGGATGTCCTGTTGCATCACAGGCTGCCTAACAGCACCACTTGACCACAGGGTTGCACAGGGTCACACTGGGTCACACAGGGTCACACACAGTCACACAGACCTCGGGGGCCCATCATTCCTATTGATAATAGCTTTTACAGGGTTACTCATTGAGAAATAGGGGCAAGTTTAACATGGCAACTCATTGAGAAATAGGGGCAAGTTTAACATGGCAACTCATTGAGAAATAGGGGCAAGTTTTGTCATGGCGACTCAGTAAGAAATAGGGCAACCTGGTGATTCATTAGAGCAAGATGGCCAGTGTTTTATTTGATCAGGGGATTCCGGTTGGACACAGACCAAAAACAAAAAAGTTCTTTTTGTGAGCATTATGGGTCCCTTCCCTCTTGTGTTTCTGATGAACTGAAACAAGGATAGCTGTTTGCTGAGATATTTGGAACCAGGTATTAAAAGGAGACTCTTTAATGTGTTAGTTGAATTAAGTGTCAACACATGAAGAGATTTCTAAAGTTATTATTTGGACAAGACTCTAAATAGTGATTTAGTATGGAAAGATAAAATGATTCTTGTTAAGATCAAACAAATCTTTTATATCAAACAATATGACCTCTTTGTGACATTATGGGTAAAAATAGGCAGATAGGATTGGGTCATACAGGCTGCTGTGGACGGTCATGCACTCGTGACATGAAAGGACCATGCACTGCTGGCTGTGGAGCAGTGTGTGACTACTCATCAGTCTTATGTCACAGTGTTGTCCAATCTCTGGACTTATGTGCTTTGTCCCAGTCTTGTCAGCTTCACCACCTGCAGATGCCAGGGGGAAGCTGATTGTGGTGAATTGTGTGATAGGGTTCAAACAATGATAGACATTTGTGATCTTGATTTGACTCACCTACGGCTTTGCTGATTCATTGCAAACACAATTGTTGACATAATGCTGATGCCATTGTTGGCGACCCGTGAAGATTCCGGGGTAGAATAGGTCTTCCGCAACCCATGCTTGCCGTAAAAGGTGACTATGCTTGTCGTAAAAGTGACTAACAGGATTGGGTGGTCAGACTCGCTGACTTGGTTGATGCATGTCATCGATCCCAATTGCGTGGATCGATGCTCATGATATTAATCACTGGATTGTCTGGTCCAGACTCGATTATTTACAGACCGCTGTCATATAGCTGGAATATTGCTGAGTGAGGCGTTAAACAACCAACCAACCAACCAACCAACCATTGTTGGCACTTGTTGTTACCCTGCTCGGCATTAAAGGGGCTAAAAAACAAGGACTGGTCAGCTCAGAGTTACTGTACTGTGTCTGAGTGCGGTATTCATGTTAAACTGTGGCATGCTATCTCAGTGGCCTAGCACTATAAAATTAGTCCGGACTTGTACAAGAAGCCACACACACACACATGCATGCATGTTGCTGTAATTGCAATAACCTTGAACACGCTGTTTTATCCCATTTCACCTTACCACCCTTGTTGACGTATTATTATATTGACATAGTTGTTGACGTAATACTGACGTTGATGTATTACTGACGTACACTTAACGTTATACAAACGTTATTGTTGACTTGTTAATAGATATCACAGTACATGATGACATGGTTGCCTATAATTGTTGCCATTACATGTACACTGTTTGTACTAGTCTTGGGGATCTCTGCCTTGTCACATTCGTCTCTGACCAACGAGATATTCTTAGTGGTATGCATGGATTATGTTTTCATGGAGTTGTCTCCCTCCGTAACAAAAACGTTTTTGTGGACGATTTGTTGTGATGGACACACATGTTGAAGAATAGGGAATAAGCCCCATATCTGGTGTGTATCATACTAATGTCAGGAAACTTGTGTCAGTATTTATGTATTTCTCTCACTCAGTATATATTGTGCGACACACACATGTGTATCGGTCTCTCTATGTGGCTAGCTGTCTGAGATGTATTTGTATTTAAACATATTTTATTCACATAAAGTGGAAAGTTGTACAAGTTATATTTACTTACAGGCGGTTGGGTAGCCTTGTGGTTAGAGCATTCGCTCATCACGCCCAAAATCTGGGTTTGATTTCCGACATGGGTACAATGTGTGAAGCCCATTTCTGGTATCCCCAGCCGGGATATTGCTTGAATATTGCTAAAAGCGGCATATAACCATACTCACTCACACACAATATAAACTACACATATAACAATAATTCATTTCCAATATAATGTATCACAAGAAAGGAAGAGACTGGGAATAGAACATGATAAAAAAAATATTGACAGTAAAACAAATTGTTGACATTCACTCATGAATGTTAAATATTTGGACATTTTTAGCATGAGAAAGATCCTAATTGCAGTACAGAATTAGTTGAAAATCTATGTCAAACATGTCCCAAATCATGCTCAGGATAACCAGCCTCCTTCCACTGCGTTCAATTGTGTTTATGTTGTGTTGTATTCCCACAGCTATGTGAGTGCGATGGTGCCGGTGAAGACGATGAAGGAGTACGACACGATACAGGAGATCACGGTGCTCTTCTCCGAGACTGTACACAGGTAGGTGCCCGAGAACCAGCCTACATTGGGTCCAGGGGGTTGTATTCTGTCCAGTGATGAATTGCTAGATAGGTTTGTGTAACTCGTATTGGCTGCCTTATGACTTAATTACTGGGATAGCAAGTTCTTGTTGAGATGATGAACACTGACCAGTTTTTGTTTTTTTCTGTAAAGTCACAGGTTTGTTAGTCATATATCTTGTTTCAGGGCGCTCAAAGTGGGGCTGCTGACCCAGGATATGATTGATGAGTACGACCCTGCACTCATGTTCACCATCCCTCGTCTTGCTATTGTCAGGTGAGCTAAGATAAGCCATCATTAGTGACTTGTGTCAGGTGAGCTAAGATAACCAATTATGAGTAACTGGTGTCAGGTGAGCTAAGATAACCGATCATGAGTAACTGGTATCAGGTGAGGGGGTCCTCATAAAAATGAAAAATGTTCAGTCTCATTGTAGAGTGTGTACATGGAGGCAATGTTTCAAGATTATTTGTTGTTGTAGTGGGCTGGTTGTGTTCCGTGAAGGCCCGCTGAATCCAGACAACGATCCATGGAACATGTCAGACATGTTCCGCCCATTCCAAACCCTCCTATTCAAGATCAGGTACGTTACAGAAATTCTGACTACAAGCCTCCTTTGCATCCTCTAGTCTCCATGCGTTACGAAATCAACATTCACTTTTTGCAGGGCATGTGCACCATCAACTGGGCATAGACAGATATTATCCAAATCTTTGCATGTTTTAATCAAGGTGTTCAAATGATTTGATGCTCTTCGTGAAGTAAGACCTTTATTCCAATGAAGATCTTGATTATGGATGAGATCGTCTTAATTGGGCACCACCATTTTGTTTGATTCAATTGCAAGTGATATCGCAAGTCGCATATGGCAATTGCAAGTGAGAGGTCGATGTTGATTGGTCAATAGAGGGGAAATAGAAAGTACACTGGTTATGCTACGATCGAGACACGAAAATCCAGCCTATTTCTGCAAGGGTGGAAACTGGACATTTACAGTCGGTTAACTCCCTTGCCTCGGGAAGATGGTTGGCCTGTTATTGGAGATCTGGTTTAGAATCGGTCTTCAGCAACCCATGATTGTCGTTAGAGGCGGTGAATAAGATCGGATGATCGGGGTCACTGACTTGGTTGATGCATGTCATTGTATCAGCTGTGTTGATCGATGCTCATGATGTCAATCAAAGGATTGTCTGGTCCTAAATTGATTGTTTCCAGGCTTGAATATTGCTAGACACAGACACACACAAACACACACACAGACAGACAGACACACACACAGAGACAGACACACACACATAGAGACACACACACATAGAGACACAAAGACACATACACACGCACATGATGAATCATTACAGCCAAAGTATGGTACAATTCATCACTCTCACCTCGTCCTTGTGTTTCAGAGAGCTGCTGTATACATTGTCACCTGAGGAGATGGTGACATTGGAGCGAGCGCTGTGCTCGGCGGAAGAACCAACATTCCTAGCCAGTCTCCAGCCGACCATAGAATCCGTGGAGGGCTTTACCCAGACCGAGTTCATGAAACTCCACGCTGACAAGAACCAGGATGGGCAGGGTGGGGTGTCGTATGAGGACACCTTGGGAGGGCCGATTCTTGTGCACACACCAAATTCTGGTAGTCCTGTCACCCCTGTCGCGCAGACAGAGTTCCCCGTTGGGACCATGTCTGCCTCGACGTCATGTGCAACTGTGATCGCTGCATCGCGAGGAAACAGCTTGGACGTTGAGGATCAGCAAGAGCAGGAGTGTTTGTTGAACAAGAGTGAGAGCAATGACTCCGGGCTGCATAGCGAGAATGTGAGCACTTCTGACAGCATTACGACAGTGTCGTCCACAGAATCACAACCGTTATTGAATGATACTCTTACCACGACCAATTCTCAGGGGGAGAGAACTCTGGCAGAGTTAGCGAGGGATGAAACTTGTCCCTCCCTTGATGACTCTGCTAGTTTGGAGGCGATGGAGACTGGTGAAAGTAGTAAGCCATCAGTGATTGCTGACGTGTCACATAGTATTAGGCAGATGTGTGCAGATATTGTGAATGACATCGTTGAGACAACTGTAGTAGACTCGGCAAGTCTGTCTGTCAGTCCGTCTGTGAGTTCGTCTGTCAGTCCTTCTCTGTCTCCATCAGGGTGTTCTGTGTCTTCCAATCCCATGAAGCGGGCTGAGGAAAGTAGCTCGGATTCCGTCAGCATGTTGAGTGACTCGCTGAGCCCAAAGCCAAATGATGAAAGTGGCTCGGATTCCGTCAGCATGTTGAGTGATTGTGTGAATCAGTTAGAGGCTGCCTGTGATCTCGTAGCTCACGACACAGACAATGTTGTGGGTGATAGTGCAATAGTCACCAGTTCCACCTCTCTTGAATCATCTCCAGTCCACCCCGGCTGTTCTGTGATAGTAGATAGTTCCGACAGACTGGACGATACTGACCAATCCCACAAATTGTCCAAACATGGACACTCTTCACGCTCAAAATCTACACTTCAAGCCACAGGGTCTAGGAAATCACGAAAAGACAAGAAAAGTTGCAAGACTTCCAATAATGGCAGTAACCATGGCAATGCATTAGATAAACTCCACAGTAAGGTTGCCGCTCACAGTGGGGAGCCAGGGGAGGGAACTCCAGAGCGACTTCCGGTATCGAGTGTGCAACGGCTCCGCTATGCCGAGAGTATTAGCTCAAATTGCTCCAGCTGTAGAAGTGGTGGCTCCAGTGTCCATGGCGATGGAGACTGGGAGAAGGAGAGGTACGTCAGTGAAGAATGATTGAGTTGGAGTAGTTAGTTTGGGGTTGATGTTGAGACTGGTAGAGACTCATAACTTTTTGTCCGTGATATAAAGCCTCTTCCAGCCTAACTGATCGTCAAGAAATATCTGTGTAGAAGGCATTGTCAGTAATGACATAAGTACTATTTCACCACTGACACTGTTCACATTTATGATCATGATAATGATCAGTATGTTGTGTTACTTCCATGAATTACTTGTTTTATCTGAACTGTCATTAAGTATGTTAACACAAATACTTTCACCCAATGTCTGGATATGTTGAGCTTCAGCAAACCGCTTATTATCTCAGCAGCTAACTGAATATAAACAAGTATAATATATTTTTCACCTTATTCTGACTCATACGCTATAGTAATTAGTATCAGTCAGGATAAGTAGAAATGACATTTTTACCCTAAAATATACATTATTATCTTGGAATTCCAAAGATTATCAACCATCACAAATTGTCACAATAAATCATAATACAGAATCAGACTTAAGCATGTAAAATGTTTATTTGTTAAAGACATCTCTCAATGATATTTGAAAACAATAACCACAGGGCTGCAGATAAAGGCTATTTGGGCGTATGTATGGTTGAAATATGCATGATACAGTGCGTGATAATTTAGAAAACGTATCCGATACGTGTCACAGCATACATGTACGGCATAACATTCATTTATAGACGTATTTCCCTAAAATAATATTCTGATTTCAAGCAGCTTGTAATCTTTATCTCTGCATGTAAAACAATGCCTATTAGAACAGGAAATACAATTTAAACGATAAATCATCTTGTCTCGTTATGTTTTTTCTCAAATGTCAATTTGTCCCCTGTTCTTTCACCTGACATTACTGAAGGGATACGTCTTAAAAAAAGTCTGCTCATAATACTCGAATTTTTCTCCCCAAAATACTGAATACCATGGAGGGGGGTGCACATTATACAACAGACATGCATGTACAGCATAAAAAGTATTATGTATTGTTTATTGACCTCTTTGCATGATAGGAGCAATGCTGTGGTGCATATCTTAAATGAAATACAAGATTAATCCATTACATTCCATTCTCTAAGTGTACTCTTTAGTTTTGCCAGTACTCCTATTTTGAGTACGTACTCCTGATCCTAAAATTGATCTGGAGCCCTGTAACTACATGTGGTTTACTATCATGGCCATCCTGTCATTGTCACCCTGTGGGGATTCCCTGTTAGAGTAGGTCACCAGCAATCTATGGATGTTGTAAGAGGCGACTGAATCAATCGGAGAAGTCAGGTTCGGTGACTTGGTTGATTGTGTGTCATCATACCCCGACAGCATAGATCTTTGCTCACAATATCAATCATTGGATTGTCTGTTCTAGACTCAATTATTTACAAACCTTCATCACATATCTGGAATATTGCAGTGTTAACCTCCAATTGTCATGAGAGAATTGTCATGTGACTGCTGTAACCACGTCCCTTGTTTGTCCAGCTGTGCCAGCAGTGAGACCAGCTCCTACAACTCGGAATGCCATGACGATGAGGAAATCGCCCTGGCGATACAGGCAGCGGAGCTTGCTTCACGCAATGAGGCACGATCTCGATTCCGCAGCAGCAGCGACATGATTCATCGGCTCTTCGTCTGTATATCAGGTAATACTCAGACTCAGAAATGCAGGTGCCTATATTTGAGGTATAAGTGTATTTTGTGGAGAGTCCCCGTAGAGACTGCCATTGTGGTATGATGCAGCCGAATGGATGGGGTAGTCGGTGACATTGTTGATTGCCTTGTACATGTTGTGATATCAATCAGTGGTGTGTCTGGTCCAGGCTTTACTATTTGCGGGCCACTGTAACATTGTGTGAAGTTAGGCAACAAACAAATGTGGATACACTGCAGGGATAGTGCCAAGACTAAAGTTCTTCTACTCAAGACCGCCTCCTTGGTCTAGTGGTAGAGGTCAGCCTGGAGAGCGGAAGGTCCGGAGTTCAATCCCCGGCAGCATCATACCGAATGACGTTAAAAGATGGTATTTGTTGTTACCCTGTCTGGCGCTTGGCATTAAGGGGCTGAAACAAGGACTGGTCGGCTCGGAGTCAGTATACTGTGTCTGAGTGGGGTATTCATGTTAAACTGCGACATGGTATCTCAGTGAGCTGGCACTATAAATCGGCATCAGTCCAGTCTAGTACAAGCAGCCACACACACACACACGTGCATGCACGTCGCTATATAAGTGCAATAATCTTGGACGCGACGTTCAACCCCATTTCACCTCACCTTCTTCTACTCAAGACATCTGTTACATGAGACACTTGTCTGAAGTAAGCTCTGGGTGACTTGAATAGAAATCATGTGTCTACCCCTGGACCATACCTGACAATTATTAATGCTGATTAGAATCATGTGATTGTGGGACCGGATCCCAGATTTGCCCAATCCCGTGAAGATTCCGGGGTAGAATAGGTCTTCAGCAACCCATGCTTGCCGTAAAAGGTGACTCTGCTTGTCGGGTGGTCAGGCTCGCTGACTTGGTTGATGCATGTCATCGATCCCAATTGCGTGGATCGATGCTCATGATATAAATCACTGAATTGTCTGGTCCAGACTCAATTATTTACAGACCGCCGTCATATAGCTGGAATATTGCTGAGTGCGGCGTTAAACAACAAACCAACCAACCAACCCAGATTTGCCCACATGATCCTTGGTTTTGTCAGCACTAAACCCAGGCTCATTTGTTTCATTAACATCTAAGACCTGCATCAGTTTTGGATCTTTTTGTATTTTGCTCACACCCTGTGAAATACTGTTTAAAGCAGAGCCCTTTAAGTTTGGTTTTTTGTAAGGGAGCCCAGTGGCTCCTAACATGAATATTTTAGGAGCCAACAGATATTGTCGCCAGTTATGTTTACTTTTGGGTTGCGAAGTGGCGAGGAGTAGATAAATTTAGGTCGCCAATCATAGATTTAAGTTGCATTTTGCCACCAAAATGGTCGCTACTTAGAGGGCGGCGTTGTTCCCAGCTTGCTCCCTCTCTCACTTATGACATTGTTGCAGGTGTAGCGGACCAACTTCAGACCAACTTTGCCAGTGATCTGCGAAACATTTTGCGTGCTGTGTTTGACATGAACTGCGCTGAGCCTCTCATTAATGATGACAATATTGATGTGGATGTTGATGATGAGGCGGCTGCAAGTTCATCCAACGAGAGTTCCCCTACCAGGGTCAGGAGTCACATCGAAAATCAAGAATATTTATCCAACGGCCACAGCAGTGAAACCCAGGAGCACACACACCCAACACACGGTCAGATTTGAAAATTGATTAAAGTCAGACCAACTTTTAAACAGATGTGCATATTCAAAATGTCATGGTTCAAAAGACAAAAAAAAACATAACCGATCGTGTGTCATTGTACCTCAACAGTGTGATGTGTTAATCATGTTGTCATCCCCCTTTCTTGTCTAGTGGATAGAGCATCTGTCCGGAGAGAGTATGGTCAGTAGTTTGATCCCAAGCTGAATAATGGTACTTATTGTTACCCTGCTTGGTATTAAGGGAATAAAACAGGAACTGGTCAGCTAGGAGTCGATATCATGTGGCTGAGTGGAGTGTCTACGTTAAACCTCAGCATGGTATCTCAGCCAGGTTAGCGCTATAAAACTGGGTTAAATCTGGACCAGAACAAGCAGTTACACACACAAATCTAGAAATTAAATAAAGATGACAGATATGAATTTGTTTTTAACAATTCTGTTAGCTAATGTAGCAATGATGTGGTTTCAGATCCTCCACACTGGGTGCCGGACGAGGTGTCGCCACTGTGCATGGCGTGTAGAATACCATTCACCTTCGTGAGACGACGACACCATTGCAGGAACTGTGGCAAGGTATGCAGGCAGGACTGACTGTTGGGCAGCCCCCTAATATAGAGTTGCTAGACACATGTGACTTTCTGTTTTGGAGACTTATTCAGAAGAGCGTATAACTGCAATAGCGACATTGGTAATGATCCTTGCAGTGTTGACAGCGGTATGAGGATCTATACTGTAACGTCGTTTACAGCGGCAAAAATAATTTCCAGTGATCACAATGTTCCGTACATTAAATACATAACCTACTATGACAGGTAGACCCACCCATGTCCTATCGTGTCGATCCCCTTGTATGATTAACCATGAGGATGATCAAAGGCAGCTAACTCTTAGGGAATGAAATTTTGAGGTGCCTCCAGCCGACCTGTTTCACTCTACAGTGTTAGAAATTGACACTAGTCCTGTAGTCCTTGCCAAACTGCCCAATAGTTAGGGTAACCTAAGGACAAGTATAGATTTGCCCTTTTCAAGGATTTTGCTATATGTTATCGTTATAAGGACTAGTGGATGAAAACTGTTAGTTTCTAACGCTGCTCTATGGTATGGATGTCGAAGTTGACAACGGTATAAGCATCTATACCCAATGTTGCTGTTACAGATAAAGCGGTTGTTATCCAGAAACGTTTTGTATGCTTTTACATAATTGAAGGCAAGTATTTCAGGAAGTGAATCGTGTTGCAGTTTTCGGGGGATTGCAATTCATGTACTTTATGGCAGGATTGTTAGTACTGTATATTCCGAATAGGGAATCTATTTCGAAAACTGTATGGAACAGCACATAACAACAAGATAACCTCAGAATCGTTGATAGGGAGCATCACAGAGATAAGGTAACTACAGCTAAATCTAGAGCTGTCAATATTCACTTCAGTGTTGGTGCAAATATTAAGAACAATAGAATAAACAGATCAACCTTGGTTGTGAATTGACTTTCTGACAGCCTTGTTTTCTGCTTCAGATCTTCTGTGGGCGCTGTTCCTCCAACTCTGTTCCGCTGCCTCACTATGGACACGCGAAGCCTGTCAGGGTGTGCAACCGTTGCTTCATGTTCCAAGTCACTCCGTTCACTGTCGCCGGGGCGTCCTAGTTGGCCCGCTACACCTGCAGCAGGGGTGCCCTAGTTGTCCCGCTACACCTGCAGCAGGGGTGCCCTAGTTGTCCAGCTACACCTGCAGCAGGGGTGCCCTAGTTGTCTAGCTACACCTGCAGCAGGGGTGCCCTAGTTGTCTAGCTACACCTGCAGCAGGGGTGCCCTAGTTGTCCAGCTACACCTGCAGCAGGGGTGCCCTAGTTGTCCCGCTACACCTGCAGCAGGGGTGCCCTAGTTGTCTAGCTACACCTGAAGCAGGGGTGCCCTAGTTGTCCATCTACACCTGCAGCAGGGGTGCCCTAGTTGTCCAGCTACACCTTCAGCAGGGGTGCCCTAGTTGTCCATCTACACCTGCAGCAGGGGTGCCCTAGTTGTCCAGCTACACCTTCAACAGGGGGTGCCCTAGTTGTCCAGCTACACCTTCAACAGGGGCGTCCTAGTTGTCCAGCTACACCTTCAACAGGGGCGTCCTAGTTGTCCAGCTACACCTTCAACAGGGGGTGCCCTAGTTGTCCAGCTACACCTTCAACAGGGACATCCTAGTCGTCCAGGCACACCTTCAACTGTCACAGAGACATCCATACCATTAACTGATGCAGGGACAACCTACTAAATGGCTACACCATTCCTTGTTACAACTCATTGATGGCGTTACGTCATTCTGGCAATATATACATAACCAACTAGTAGAGCCAGTCATCTTACTGTCCTACGCTTTAACACATATATTCCTCATGTACCAACCAATAACCTCCATCGTGATAGCAGGGCTACCGATTAGATATGAACAAGCTTGCGCAGCTGTATACCTTTCAGCTGTTCCTCATGACATACCGCCAGGCCTGGCTGCCTACTTAGAGCAATAGTGCCGCCCAGCACAATGTGACTATCAATTCCAGAGCGAGGAGCCTGCAACATCAGTGTGGAATGAACGGCTCCATAGCCTGAATTACATGGAGCCGCTTGCTCCTAGTGAGTTAACACTGCACCTTGCAGCTGGTGTCCAGGTCGCGGTTGTTGCAGCTCCAGGGATCGCCAGCCAATCAAAACGAACCTGTTTATACTCGCACCCATCAAGGATATTTTACAATGGAGTGATTGATGTTTTTATCATGAAGAGTAGGACTATTTTGATAAAACTTACTCTTTCATTTGTACTTGGGTTGAGAGTGTGGTATGCTAGCTGTATGCTTTGGTATTTATTTCTAATTACGATTACTTAATCATGTTAAGTAAGGGCCCAGGTGGCCTAGTGGTGTATATCACTTAAGTTTGCTCACAGTTCTTTAGTTGTGCAATGTTCCCCTGATCTTGGGTTCAAATCCAAGATTTGCCCTGATTATTATCCTTGGTCTGTCAGCACCATACCTGTGCTTTCACCTAGGTCGTAATTGTAAACTGGTACCGTGACATGATGGCACTTAACTTGGTTCCAATCTGCATCTAGGGACCGGTCATTTAGTTATTATTCCCTCTGATCAGAGGGAGTCTGGGGAGGGTCACCCAAAATAAGACCAGGGGAGGGAGGGTTATTAAAAGTATTACACATATTTGATTAGTGTTCTTTGAAAACACAGTTAGGGGGTAGGGGGACACAGCTAGGGGGTAGGGGGAACAGGTAGCGGCAGGGGGGACACAGCTAGGGGAAGGGGGGACAGTTAGGGGGAAGGGGGGACACAGCTAGGGGGTAGGGGGGACACAGCTAGGGGGAAGTGGGGACACAGCTAGGGGTAGGGGGACATAGCTAGGGGTAGGGGGAAGGGGGGGGGACACATCTAGGGGGAAGGGGGTACACAGCTAGGGGGTAGGGCAGACACAGCTACTGGGCAGGGGGGGCACAGCTACTGGGTAGGGGGAACAGCAAGGGGGGACACAGCTAGGGGGTAGGGGGAAGTTAGGGGGAACAAAGCTTGAGGGAGGAGGAACTGGGAGTGTCACTTCAATCCGACACTGCAACTGTGTCAACACTGTCTTTCTAACACTGCTGTAGTGGGTGATACGGGAGTATTTCACCTACTGAACATGTTGAACTAACTGTGATAAATGTTCAATTGTATATATATATATTTACTTTGCTCTACTCTGGGTTCGAGAGATTTGTATAAAGAGAATATTTTCATATACTGACATAGTCATAGTAAACAGCTTCTTATGGTGATCACTTCAATAGTTTTTTGAGACTGTAAATCACATACATTGCTGATTACATTTGCTGAATGTTTTTGTAATGTAAGATTTCATGCAGGCAAGATGATGTTGTCATTCTGAGCATTTAATGAAATGTTTGCTATTGCTTTAAATACAACAAATATTCCATATAACACATATATTGGCAAAGTGAATTTTATGTTGTTTAATTGTCATGCTTTTAGAACATGTTTTATTGTGAGGACTGTGCTATATTTGCAGTTTATTTTTAACACAAAAAAGAACCGAATAAGGCATGAAACTGATACGAGATATATTTTTGGTCAAGAATGAATTATATTTCTCAATCACCCCCACAATTTAGCCATGGAAACTTTATTCCATATTCCATGTGTTCAGGAGATATTTCCACCTCTTGGAACTTTAGAAATAAGGTAGACCATGTGAAGGGAGGTAACTCTCACAGCCGTATTTGCCAAGTGTCCTCATAAGATCTCATTTCGATACAAGAGGATAACAATCATAGATCTGTTTCTTTTATTTTATTGTAACCTTTATCACAAGAGATATGTAAAGCTCTTGACACCAATTTTACTTCCTTATAGTGCTGATTTAATTGTTGGTTGGTTCTGCGTGTGTGCACTTATTCTATTTCAGACCACAGCATCCTTCAGTTTCCAACTTATGCTAAGAAAATAAGGACCACTCGACCCTTCATATTAGGGGCTGACCATTTGATACCCTGTGGATGCCTGAGACTAGATATCTTCAGCTACAGCAGCCTATCAGCCTATCATAAGCCTAAATACTTATTAAAAAAAATATATGATATTTTACCAATATCCTTTCGTCATCCCCCCCCCCCCCCCCACACACACCCCCAACCACCCACAGAATATCAAGTGGTTGGTCCCTTACTGTTGTAATATGAAAGAATCGGGTGATCCTTCTCTTGAGTAGGCTATTACCTACAACTCAAAGTGCTGAAACAAGGTATTTCTTTTGTTTTATGGTTGAGCTTGCCTTTTTTTGAAGACGTTAAACACAGTACATGTTTAAAAGTTAATCACAAGCAATGTCTCACGATCTCATTTTATTGTCGACTCACTTTTTGAAAAGGCATGCTGAGATGTCGGGAAGATGATGTCACCGAAATGTGATTCCATGAGACTGCTTGTCCTATTTCTCTGGAATTCTAGAGCTGCAAATATTTTTGCAGATGGTAAAAGTTATCTTTTTACAAATATACGAAAACATTTTTGTCAGTTTGAGTACCAAATACGTCCATGTCCATTTCAGAATATAAAGTTTTTGAACGGTTAACATTTTTAATAACATGACATATACATCCATTGTTTGCATATTTGAACATGAAAGCCTGAAGTAGCTGGTTTTGCAGACATTCAAATGTGCCAAATGTGCACACATTTTATAAATAATAAACATAATTATTGTGTCATGTTTACATTGAATGTTTTTTTATATTGAAAGTTTGGAAACATGTTGTACACCATGATAAGTATTAACTTTTTTCACCAGCATCAGCAAATCGATAGGACCATACATCGATCTGGCTCAGTAAAAGCAATAGACCCGTGAAGATCCGGGGTAGAATAGGTCTTCAGCAACCCACGCTTGCCATAAAAGGCGACTATCCTTGTCGTAAGTGACGACTAACGGGATCGGGTGGTCAGGCTTGCTGACTTGGTTGATGCATGTCATCGTATCTCAATTGCGTGGATCAATTCTCATGATGTCAATCACAAATTGTCTGGTCCAGACTTGATTATTTACAGACAGCCGTCATATAGCTGGAATATTGCTGAGTGTAGCGTTAAACAACAAACAAACAAACAAGCAATAGAAATGCAACAAATTTTACACTGGGTAGGTGGTCAACTCATGTATAAGGTGATGTACTTATCCACTTGCACTCCATCATTGACATATATATTGATTCCCTGAAACAGTTACAATATTTTCCTTACTTAAAGTATTTTAAGAAGATGAAGCTTTAAGGAACTGGCACCACATGTTACATGTATTCTCAGTATTCAAGGTTGTATTCTTCTGTATATTGGTTTCGTTTGTAACATTTTTCTGTTATATCTTAATAACTTACACCGATTTTTGCCTGAGAGAAATACAAGAGGAGCAGTTGTTCTTGCAGTGATGTTTTGTAATGAATGCTTATTGCCTTTTCTACAAGTTTGGATTAAGAGATTTTTCAGTGTGGGATCTGTGAGTGAGTGAGGCTGTCATTCCACTTGTACAATCAGTGTAGGTTGTGTGCAGCATTTAGCAGGCTCATGTACACCATGGGGTTACTGTCAATAAACACTTTTTATATACAGAAATACCAGTGTTTGTGTTTGGAATGAAGGTAAACCTACTGGAATCTGATGTATTGCAGACCCTTGTGATGTAGCTGGAATAATGTTCGCTTCAGTGTTGAAGAACTGAGAAGATCCCAGTAGCCCGGTTGAGTGTGTGAGATGAATGCAGACAAAACGTGTTTGATTCAAACAGGGGTTCGTCTTTTGTGTGAAGGGGCGATGGGGTAGCCTAGTGGTTGATGCGTTCGCTCATCATGCAGAAGACCCGGGTTCGATTCCCCAATGTGTACAATGTGTGAAGCACATTTCTGGTGTCTCCTGCCGTGATATTGCTGGAATATTGCTAAAAGCGTCGTGAAACCATACTCACTCACAAAATATGCTGTAATGAAATGACCACAGATAAAACTGGCTTCAATGAAATGTTGACCACAGGTAGAACTTGCTTCAATGAAATGTTGACCACTGGTAAAACTGGCTTTATGAAAGGTTGATCACAGATAAAACTTTCTTCAATGAAATGTTGACCACAGGTAAATCCTGCTTCAATGAAAGGTTGACATCTGGTAAATCCTGCTTCGGTGATATCAGGTAAATCCTGCTTCAATAAAACATGGCCTTGCCACAGGTGATACCTGCTTCAAAGATGCAAAAATGGGTTTGACTGCCAATCAAGGTCGGACTTGTTTAATGTCTTTCTGCAGGACCCATATGTGTTGTAAGCATTTGGTGAGCAGGTTTGTAATAATACAAAGGTTGTTTACAATGTTTCTGAATATCTGATAGTTTCCACCATATCTTCTTTCATCTTAGGGGGGCACGGGTGTCCCAGTCGTCTAAGGAGCAGAACTTCAATGTGCAGAGTTGTGTCCCTTGGACACGCCAGAATCCTATGATCATGGGTTCAAATTATGTTTTGAAGTTTGGCAGCACCATACCCGTACTCGCGGAGGTACCTTTCATTAATTTTGACCTATTTAGAGCATAGGCATAGAGCACTTTTTAGTGGGCAGATCTAACAAGAGGAAGCACAAGACTCAAGTGCAATCATTGCGTAACTGTCAGAGGAGAAATCGAAGGACACATTAGTGTGCAGATCTTACAGGGGGAAG